TCGAAACACTTTCGTACCGTTGGCTCGATATTAGAATAGGAGAAACTGGAATTTGTTGGTTTTTCATTTCAGAGTTATGACCGCAATATTAGTTTTCACGGGAAGAGTTATGGGAGTGGCAAGTCCGTAGCTAATTTATTTTCGGCGACAGGGAGAAAAAAGAACGTCGAAACACAGCAACGCATGCGCGCGCCTTCCAAATATTTTGTCATTGCCTAGTTGTCTCGTCGACGAGCTGCGGCGGCAGTAGTTTTTCACCTTCGACGCGTGCTCATCGCCTAGATACGCAAATATACGCGAGTCCGGTTTTGCCCGGAAACAGCGTAAACAAAATCCGCGCAGGGCAATCAGCGCGCATATGAAAAAAAGCCCGCGCAACCCACGTCGACGAACAAATCGGTGAAAAATATTTTTTTGGCAGAGAAAACAAACGCCGTCGCCGTGGCAAAGACATTAATTTCCGAGCCCGGGAGTAATTACGCGGGACATACATTTGCGGCGGCTACGTAGCCAAGCGGGCTACAAATATATGTATATTCAGAAGGAGGGTGGCTGCGGCATTTCCCACGCGCTCGAAAACAAACAAGAGAGCGAGAGAGAGAGAGAGAAAAGGCTGGAAAAAGTCATACTCTTTTGTGGACATTAACGGTCCGGCTAGCGTGATTCCGGGCAAGGTCGTGCGCTGTTTAAGCGATTCACTTTGTACTTTGCATAAGTCGCGCATATAGATGCAGAGAAAGAGCTCGTTGAAGGGGAGAGAGAGAGAGAGAGAGAGAGTGAGAGAGAAAGAGAAAAAACGCAGAAGAGGAGGAGCTGCCGTCGACGGGAGTCTTTAATTAAGCAATATTAAAGTTTCGGGCAAAATGCTCAGCTTTAACTCGGCGCAGCGAGGCTCGTATACAGTCGCAAGCTCGCAGAATTAACAGCCATATATATCTCTTGCCTTAATGATAATTAAAAATGCACGTCCCCCTGTGTTGCCGCTGCTTCTGCTGCTGCTTCTGCTTTTGTAGTTTCGTCTCCCTTCGATATTCGCCAACTCTTTTCGCGCTCGCGTGCACTCGTCTTCTTTTTCTCTCTCCTGCCACGCTTTTACTCTCGCTTTCTTTTCGCGACGTCGCATGAATTTCACAGAGTTTCGCTCGGACGGATTTAGTACACTTTTAGACAGCTCATAAAGCAGTAAATAAAGACTCATAAACGCGCTCGCTTAAAATTAGCCGCCGGTGAATCGTTTGAATGTTTTTTCATGCTGATAAAGGACTCGCTGGAAAACTACCTAAGAGCGATGATAACGAGCGAGCTTTCCGGCTTTTCAACCAACTCAATGGTGTTATGCGTCGGATGCCGCTATTATCATTCCATTTGTCCGCAACGCACATTGAATATACGTTACTTGAAAACTTGAAAACTTGAAAACGTTTCATTTGATTAAATATCTTCATTCGTAACGGACTGAGCGATTCCTTCGCATTTCACGTTATTACAGCACCAATGCATGGGTTTGTTATTGACAATTTTGATGAAATAAAATGGTCACCATAGAAAAATGCAACAACGAAAACATTTGAATTTTGCGCTCGAACCAAGGCATGGCAAAAGAATTATTGAATTAAATCTGAGGAGGGATAAGCAGCTGCAATTAGCCAGTGTAGCCTCTCGGTCCGACCTCAACATATTCCCGAAGCTTCCTGGTGTAACGATGCCTGCGGCGGCGGTGAGCTGCAGGTCCATATAGTCACAAGCCGCAGAGTCGTGTCTGTCCCTCTCTTTGTTGCCGTGAGCGGGTATCCAGCATACGGCCAAGGGACAGCGTCGCCGTCGTCGTCGTCGTCGTCGTCGTCGTCTCCATGATAATGTTCAATTCTGCGCTGGCTGGGCTCGCTCAGTCGCGAATTTAATTAGGCTCGATGGCTTCAATGTGTACGTGTGTGCATGAAGAGGGAGAGAGGTATCGGCCAGATCAGCAGCTCGTTAGCATGTTTTAATTGGTGGCTGTCAGCGAGATGGACGCTCTGATAAGCTGCGCTATATAGTATATATACGTATGCGCCACTGCAGCAGTGCCAGCACCAGTGCATCGCTCTCTTTTACTGCGCAATGGGCGTATGTACACAGTATAGCTGCAGTCGCGCGAACGACGCAAACCTGTAATGGACCTAATGGTCATCCCGAGCCAGCGACAAAAAGCCGAAGCACACACGTACGGACGGAGAGAGATCTTGTAATTGCGAAGATTACACGCGGCTATTGTCAATTATCGCTTTGTAACAGACCTCCCCGGCACACACACACACACACACACACACACACACACACACACACAGCCGATCAGATTTATATCGAGCCGATCGTTTGTTTGCCAGAGCACCAAGAAGATCGCGCAGACGATGGACCCGACGACCTATATATATACACCTCTTACGGCCGTCTACTTTTTCTTCTTTCCTTTTTTTCTTTTGTACTAGACATTGTTGTTTGGTCGACATGATCCTTTGGAGCGATTTCACGGGAAACGTGATGGAGTATGCTGATAGAGTTGTACGTTGCAACCTGTGCCCGTCATTGTTCTTTTATTTTCTGCTGCTTTGCCAAGTGACTACGTAATCGACTGTTCAAAAGGTTGCGTCTTATACAGAGAACGCAAATTGGATTTTTGGATAGTTCTCTAATTCTAAGCGAATTAGAAGAAAATGCTACGGCAATGATCGATAGATCTATTAACAGGCTACACAAAATATCGGTCATACGTTTTCAATACAGCTTAGCTCGTTAAATTAATCAAATATTCAATACCGGAATTTCTTTAGAAATAGTTGTAGGCTATTATTTTCCGATTGCATTAATAATTGTTGGTTTGTCAACCCCCATGCGAGAGCTGCTAGAAACCATATCGGATTGATTTTATCGAAAATGCAGTGGATGAGCACTGTAATCAATGTCATTTTCCACAGTTCACAGCAATAGCTACATCCAAAAGGAGCAATTGAATTTTAGCCACGTATTTCTGTGTCGGAGCCGAGCGCCACGTCGCATCCGAACGCTCGTTATTTTTCGCGAAGAGACCGGGAAGAGGCAGGTACGTACAGCTGGCGGAAAAAGAAAGAAAGAAGGGAGGAAAGAAAGCACACTTGGTCTTTTCTCTGGCGAGAGAAAAACAATAGATTTTGCAGCTATCAGTACAGTGCGGTGCGCGCTCGTTACGATGTCGGCGCCGTCGTCGCGCAAAGTTTTCGCGCTGATCGTTCAAATCTCTTTCCCGTGGCAGGCCGCGCGCGCCTGCCTCGGTCAATATAACGTCTCTTAATATAGATCAAGGTCCGTCGATATTGAACGTCAGTCGCACACACACACACACACACACACACCCAAAGACCGGACGCGCCGACGGCGGAAATCACTTTTCTGACTGGCCGCCTCATGTAGCGCAAATCTTCTCACGATCGTTCTCCCTCCTCGACTTTTTCTCCGACAAATAAAACCGTAACGAAATAGGCTGCTGCTGCTGGCGCTGCTGCTCGACCGAGAGGGCTGTTTTAAAGGAAACGCGCGCGCACGCTCGTGTGAGAAAGAAAGGCCTTTTGAAGGCTGCTGCTGGCGCGCGCGCCCTTTCTCTGTGTGAAAAGCCGCAGCCGCGGCGGCCAATAATCGAAAAATCCTCAGGTCGCGCCTCTTGAAAAATCTCTCGGCGCGCACAAATGACGCCATTCACGTGGAGGAGCAAGCTATACACAGGGAGGCAGAGAAAGCCGCCGCCTCTCCTTTTCCTCTGGCCGCTCCCCGCGACGCACCAAACTGCGCTGCTCTGCTGCGCCTCATTTTCTCCCGCGCGTGCTGCACTTCGAGGCGAGCGCGGCAGAAAACAACAGATGTTCCGTTAAATGGACTCGACGCGCTCTCTCGGAGTAGCTCGATGAGTCAGGGGGCTCAGCTGCAGTCTACGCGAAATAAAAAGAGGCAACCAGGCAAGGAGTGCGCTTTAGCGTGCGCTACTGGAGAATATCTCTGGCGAGTAATTAGTCCATCGGTCGTTAATCCGCTCTCGCTTGCTCTTGTCCGTGTGCGAGGGCGAGCGGCGCGCGACACGCATGCAAAATGCAAAAGGGATGCTGCTCCCCGCGAAGCGGATAAGAGGACCACCCTGCCGCCGGCCGACGATAAAAAGAAGATCGGCCCGGAGAGAAAGCAAAGTAAATTATATTGCGACAAGGCTTCTTTTTCTGCTATGGGATGAGCCGATTTGCGGCTTCTCTTTTTTTTTTTTATTGTTTGCATTCCCCTTCTTTCCCCTTCTTTCCCCTTCGGGCTGCGCACTTGCCATGTGCGATTATACATTTTTTCTCGACTTCACATGTCGGCCCTTTCAATATCGATCGCTTCTTAATTGATGCCCATCGAGAGCAATGGCTCATTAGTTTTTCATTTTACGATGCCAGTAACTTTAATGCGCACTTACGCTCGCAGTGACGACGAGGGCAAAAAAAACGAGAGCAATTCGTTCCGTGAAAAATAATTGACAACTTTATTTGAAGTCGGAAACAGCTTTCATAGTGCTCCTCCCTCCTCCTAGACACAGTCAGCAATTAAAAAGAAATTCCCACACACGCCTGGAAATGACATCAATTGGGAACGAAATGAACCGGAGCTACATCCAATTTTGACCATCTGTACATCTTGACAGGCCGCTTACACACGGTATACTACGGGCCATGACGAAATTCACGATGGTTTCGCTTAATAAGACCTCAAGTGTTTCTATAGTTGTCCGTACTTTTTCAATTACTGGCAGGGGAGAAAATGAAGTTTTTTCATCCGCCGTGTCTAATTCATTTTCAATTTATATTCATTGATAATTGAACCTTTCTTTAATACGATAAGGCTATATTTTCACATTAAATTTTCGTTTCTTGTCACTTGCTTCAGATAATTAGATTTTCCAAAATGATAATATTTTATTGAATATAATGTAGACAAAAGTTTTTAAATCCAAGTTACATTGTCAAATCACCACGTCACATGTTTTCAAAGAAACTATTAAAAACAAAGTGAACGAATGTTTCCATAAAAATCGATTTCATTAATTTCAATCATCTCGTTTAAATAAAAATGGCGAATCCCTCTTTTCGGAGAAAATGATGAGAAAATTAAAAAAACAATTGCGAGATATTCTTTTCATTAAAGTCAACAATATTCGTATTCAATTCTTTAAAAAGTTTTTTCTGTGCTTCAAAGAGACCACTTCCGATTTGATCATCATGAAGCGAGAAAAAAAAATGCCAACATTCCTTCTTCGAAAGAAAAAGCGGCGTGCGCGAGAGAGAAACTCCTAAATCTCGAGCGTCCTACGCAACGCCGCCTCGCGACCAAAAACCCGTGACAGCAGAACGAATAACCCATGACGAATGCGAAACTCACGGGCAATTTTTCTGTTCTTTTTCATGGTCGCAACGCCTTAGCGCGCGCGAAGCTGAACTAGAATAGGATTTGAATTTAATTTTATAAATACGCAGAGGGCTGGCGTAGCTTTGTTGGCGCATAACGCGTCGTCGGTGGGGCGTCCAAGACCATCGCTTTCCGACTTGGCGATGTGCGCACGCGAGAACGAGAGGGTTTTGAGAGTCAGAGCGCAAAACGACGAAGCCTCGGAAAAGGCAATTAAAAGCCGCCGGCGCGCGCGAGCGCGGAACTTTTCTATGATGCCTCTGGAGAGCCCTCGACGCGTTGACAAAGTGACAATCACTAGAGACGCGAGCGCGGCCGAGGGACGGGACGAGCCGAGAAGAGATTGCGAAATAAAGAGAGCGAGCACGGAAGCTCGGCGAAAGTCACGTGCAGTCTCGTGTTACATTTTCATTCGGCTAATTGTCCTGGCTTGCTTTTCGCGTGTCACTCGATCACTGGCTGCAGCCGCCCTCGCATCGAGTCAATTTTCGGCAGGAAAGGAGATTGTCGTCGTTAGCCGCCGAGCCATTAGGCGCCGCTTTTTTCCTCTTTTCCAAAGCTCCGTGCGCGCGCGCGCGCGTGCTGCACACGCGTGCCCAGTGCGCTGGCGTCGCGCTTTTCGCGATTGTAGAGCGGAGCCCCCGCGGCAATGCTCAGACCCCCTGGGGATTGCAAAATTAGAGGAGGGGCCTGTTGGGCGTTATCGTGAGCTGAATCCTTAAGAGTTTCTAGTCGCTTCGCGCTTTCATTAGACTGCAATCTCCGGATAATTAATCTTCAGTGATAAGGATTCTTTTGAGAGGACTGCGTGTGCTATATATGCACCAATAACTCGCTTGCATTTCAAACATCCTGCTTACCTTTTCTGTTATTTCTTTAGCAGAGTATTTATTTTAACTGAGTAATTGACAATTCAGCTCTGGCTTATCAAACAGATGTAAAAAAGTACAACGGTAATATTGGCCCGCTTAAGCATACAAGAACTGTCAAGAATATAGCGTTCGATCAATGTGTTGCGAATGATCGATCTTATCATCTTATTTCTATATATACTTGATGAACGCCGAATATTTTATGACATATTATAAGACAGCGACTTCCCATGTCATTCTTATTACAATTGAAGCGTTCGTATGGATAATGGATGTAATCGCAAATAGAATGAGACTTAATATAACTTCACTCTCTAATAAATATCACACGAAGTGCATAGAAATTCGCCAAATCACATAATTAAGCTTTGCAGTGGTGGGACAATACATCCAGAGATTGGCTGGACACAATGTACTTATTGTTCGCATCTAGTCGGTCATACATCAATTTCGGCACGTTGCTCATCAAAATATATATCTTTCTGGCCTGCGGATCGATTGTCAAGTCATTCGGAAAGGCGAGCTTTTCCGGATCTGATACTATAAGATCTGCAACAATCAATATAAGTATTCTCGATCAATTCGAACAAACGTACCAACTCCATCAACGCGCGTTCAAATTACTTTTCTCGCAACAATACAAGTTTCGAGATAAATAGACGCAATCTCGTGCAAATGTATTGTTCGTATAAAAAATATGCATCGTAATAATCAAAGTCGCTAGGGAGCGACAATAATGCCAGAATATGTATGCTCGAAGGTACATAAAACAAAAGGGACGCAGAAGACAAAAGACTTTTGACTTACTGAACGTTTGAGGCTTGAGGGGTGCATTGATGTTCCAGCAAGCGATTCCATGCCTGTTGATTTGCGAGAAATAAATGATGCCCTCTTGCAAGTCAATAGCCGATGAAGTTCCTTGACTTAGTGGGCCTTTCTCACCGGCAAGTTGGAACTGATAGTAATTATCGGAGGACACGTAACTCTCGTTCTTCAACACCGTGGTTGGCACCGAAAACTCACGGATCGCTGATAGCGCATGGAAGTACAACGTCTTGGAACCATCTTGGCGTCTCGGGGATATTGCCAGTCCAAATATACCATCTGTCCAGTGGAAGTTTATTCCCGTGACGTTGAAGTCGCCTGAGGGCCAATCCCGTAAATTAACGATGTGGTCGTCGTCGTCGTCGAGAGAGAGAGTGAGAGGGACGCTGCTGCACCGTCGATTAAGCGCAAGCACGGTAGCCAACTTTGTTTAGAGTCCGCGGGTGCGGCTTGCGCGAGCTTTTGTGCTAGCCTTTCTCATCCGCCCCGTAAATTTTACGGAATTGAGTTCACGCATTCTCTCTCTCTCTCGCTACTGACATTTGTATTACCCTGATTTTAGTAAAGTTGCGTTTTGCATGTAGTCAAATAGATTTAAAAATAAAATAAGTCGTTGGCAGTGCTAATGGCACATTTGTTTGTTTTTATTTTGAAAGCTTCTGAACACGTTCTCCACGATTCGATAACGATTAACTACGAGTAGCTCTTGCAGCGTGTTAACAAAATGTTTACATTGCCTAAAAACTTGACACTTCGCGTGACGCCATTTCGATTGAAAATAAAGACCGGATGAGAACCTCGAGTGTATCTGTGAATTGAGCCGGCAATATTCATAAAGCCATCGGCACCAGATCGCGTCACTGCGTTTTTGCCGCAGCGTCCGAGTATCGAGTATACGAAAAAAAGTGAATGCTCTACCATTCAAAGGATCAAAGTGGAAGTAGTTGTGGTGGAATCGCCAAGAGTTGTTCTGCGCCAAGCTGTAAACGACCAGGCCGTAGCCGCCGAGATCAGATAAATAAGCGTAGGCGTCGTCGCAGGCGTCTTTGTCCGAGTCGACGGCAAGGTCGCCGAAGAACGAGTCGGCTTTCTGATCCGAGTCTTTCAGCGTGTACGTGCGAATTATCTGAAAAAGTGTCGGAATCGTCCGAAATATACTTATATACTCACCTGCTCTCGGCCTTCCCTTTTCCTTCGGCTCATCCCCCTTGCTGAGAAGCAGTCATTGATCATTTTTAAGCAACGCACGCGCGCGCGCCTGGCCCTGTCTCGACTTCTTCCTTTTTCCAGTCTTATCGATCAAAGTTAACGCGCAGCGATGCTTTCCCATCCTTTCACCTACCGAAGGGGCCTTATTCATTTCACGGGCTTTTAAACGACTACGCGTTCTCGTGTATTTCTCTTTCCATGGCATTTCCTAACTTTGAGTTTGCCTAGCCGCACCAACGAAAGAAGTACGCGCGCTTCGAGCGTGCGTTCGTTAATTGTATCTTTCCTCTTGCCAGAAGTAGGGTAGCTAGCTCGTATTGCGCGGAGGTCATTCATTTCAAAGAAATGACAGTGACGCACCGCAGCGCGCGGCAGTTGCCCGATGTCGCGCGCACCGTAATTCATGTGCGATTTTACTGAAAGTTTCGCGAAAAGAAAGAACGGATAAAAAATGATGACGCCCCGCGATGGGGCGATAGTCAAATCATTTATTTCCTTTATTTGCCGTGGTAACATCTGTTAATGCGACTCATTTCCTGTGAGAAAGCGTGATAATGGGGGAAGTGGATGTGTACAATAAAAACGCCGCACCAACTACTATTTTTCAAGCCGAGTACAGTTAGCACGGAACCTCGTATCTTTTCGATTTATTTACGTCGTACTCTGCTAGATTAGATTTTTCCGAGCTATGAACTTTCGGCTGATTTATGAAAATCACCTTGCGAGCACTCTTTGCACTTGCGACAGCAAGAAGGTAGCCGAACAAAATGCAAAATCATACCTGATCGGTCTTCAAATCGATAACGATGAGCCTTGGCTGTCTGACGAGTTTAGTGTCGCCCAATATATCATCGATGCCAGTGTCAACGCCCCAAAGCCGATCGCAAGCATCGACCCTAACGCGAAAGATGCTGATAATGGCATCGTTGCTTGCCGAGTGCACGTCGTTAGCTTCCCAGCTTGGGTAGGGATTGAGACTGGGCGACGGGCCTGCAAAGTGCGCGAGCGCAATTCGAATTAATCGCCGCGCATAAGAGCAGAGTTCCCGAGATAAGCGAGAAAGTTTATATCGTACCATTGGCGCTCGACATGGGGATGTAATTCAAGTTGGCCGGCACACCTTTCTTCCATCGTGGCACGGTAATGAACATTTTGTCCTTCCATACTGCAACGCCAAGGGGCAGGTTGTCCGACTGGATGAAATCTCCGGAAGCGATGTATGCCTGTTTCATTGATTCGTTCGGGAAGTTATAGTCGAGCTTGTCCCAGGAGTACACTGTTTCGGGCGCGTGACAGGCCACTCCTGTCACTAGCGCCAATGCCATTAATGCGCATCGCATATCTGCAATTGGACCAGACTTTATTTAAAATGACCTTGCGTTATGGAGGCTGGAAAGAAAGAAAGCCATTCCGAACTCTGTCGCAAATGTACAAAGATGCGAGGTCGCTGTTCCAAGGCGACGCGGACGTCTCCTAGGTGAAACAACTTTTATCCGCGGTAGAAGCATCGTTTTAACGAGCCGATCTTTTCAATGCCCAATTGCATAATCAACTTATCTCTCGATGCACTCCCGCTCGTGATTTATTATCCTCGCGCCACGATTACTTTAATGTCGTTATAATCGACTCTCAAGAATCACCTGAGAATGAGATTTAATGGATCTAATCGATAGTCCCGCCGAGGTGTAATAATTTTAGCTTCGAGAATTTATAGGCTCTTCCAGTGAAATCTCATCTGCAGGCATGAAATTAACTATTCACGGCTACGCGTCTCTCTGTTTGAATGCGACTAACGTTGTACTTTTGAGAGAAAGCCTTTCAACAAAAGCTACACGAGCACGCACGCAGTTCGTGTTAACCGGTTTCGATTTAACGTTCGCGTGGTATTACTGCGCGTCGAATAGTTTCCTCGGATATAACGATTCTCTTTCGCGTGATTTTAATCCGCGCAACAATTATCGTTTGAACCGATCGTTTCCGCGAGGGACCGTTGGATTTGCACGACCGATAGGAACGGTTGACCGACAATCACGGGAATTTTGAAGCGCGCTTTGGCAAGCGTGAACAAAGAAACGCCGACAATAGAGCCGTTGTCCAAAATAATAACGCAATGGTCGACGATGAAGGTATTTGCTATAAGTTGTAATGAATTGCACGACAATTGCCATTAAAATTGATTAGCAACAGTGGCTTTGCAGAACGTGAGCCTGGAATAGACCGGGAGAGCTGTTTGGGAAAAGTCGAGAAGAGCAGAGAAGAGCAAAGTACCGATACAGCTGTGAGCGCGCGTTACGTATTTGAGGTTGGAGGCGGCGCTCGGTCGCTGTAGCGCTCGCTGTAACGGGCACGCGCCGGGCGTCTTAGCAACGTACTCTCGCGCGCGCGGGCCGGCCGATGCGCGCACGGATAAGCTCGAATGCACCGGAGCTCTCTGCAATTTGGCGCGCTCGCGCGGGTAACTCAATACTTTTCCCCGAGCACGCGGTCTATTGTATATATGTTGGCCATACTCACTGATACGTGAAGCAACGCGCGCGCGCACGCACGCACGCACCCACACACGCACACGCGAGCGAGAACGAGCGAGTGTCTCCGCGGGAGAACGGTGTAGCGCCGAATGGAGGCTATAGTTCGTCGGGCCGCGATTTTATAGCGCAGCGCTCGCTTGACTGCCGCGCGTACCTGCGCTGTATGTGCCTGCAAGAGAGCGCCCGAACATTATATCACATCAAACGGGATTGTCCCCGTCGCTTTCCTCTTTTTCTCCAACGCCAATGCACCTGAAGCGCTTTGCATTCACCGGGGATTGGCTATTCCAAGCTGATGCTGTGTATACACCGTTGCCCAGATATACCTGGGCTCTATTGCTACGATTGCCATTTTCCATTAGACAATCAATTGAATTATTCATGCCTTTGGTTGCCACCGACTCCAGCCACGACTCCAGCTACCAGTTTGTTTGTGCTCGCCCGGCTGCTACGAATAGAGCTAGACCTAACTTTTCGCCTCGCTGTATCAACCGAAATGCGATTGCCGTGTTGCTCGTGTTGCTACGTATATATCTGCGTTACTGTTTTCACCTCTTGCCGACTTGATTCCATATGGACGACGTTTCGTTGAATTTTCGTTGCCAATGTTTTAGTTATTATTTCAATCGTGTCTTACTTCGATCACAACTATTATTAACATCCTTGTGATTGTTTCATCTTAAACGTGAAATTCAACAACTTTAAAAGGAAAATATTTAGCCTAAACTGCCAATCATTTTCTTACTATTCAAAGAAAATATCATTTAGATCGCTAATCTTTATGACATGGTAATTTTTTTTAAACTAAACATGCTAGTCTAAATAATATTATGTTTTTTTTCTGCGTGTTTGTTTCGTTTTACACGTATCTGCAATAGAACAGAATGTTTCCAGCGAATAAGACGACTTTTTTTAAACGGGATGTGCTTCTGGATCTTTTAATTAGTTATAATAATGGATATATTCATTTAAATTGAAATTAATTCATCAGCATTTCCTGAAAAAATAATAATGACTAATTTGAAGTAAACAGTAGTTCTGGAATTAAGACTTTTGAAAAACTTTCAAACGATCACAGCTTTGGCATCGTCCAATGACAGTAACAGTAGTATTCTGATGAGCAAGGGTAGTACAATGGTAAATATATATTTCCGATGCCTTTGTGAAACAAATATTTATGAAAAGAAAGCAAATGCGCAATGAAAATTTCCGCTGGATAGCACATCGCATTCAGTATTGCGTGTGTGTGTGTGCTTGTTTCATGCTCAGCCCATTCGAGTGCGTGCATTAGGGTAATTCGAATAATAACCATAATTACGTCGACAGGACTCATCTCTGAGGATGATTCTGTGTCAATGATTTGCCAGCGCTCGCGCTATGCGGTTTTTACATGATTACGGCCTTTTGTTGCGTGATTTGCGTAAGCGACAATTTATTCCAGCACAACTTAAATAGACTCCATACATATATTTTTTAACAATAGCTAAACTTTCGGTTCGCGAATACGTACTCATCTTTTTCACATAAGATGGTTTTTGATCATCTTTCAACATTACATTGTACAAACAATGCAGCTGTTCTTCTTGCATAATTTATTCCATTTTGTTTGCTACAAAAGAAACTAATGGAAAGACAAACGTTGCAATCACGCGAAATGCAAATAACGAATCATGAAAGGAGTGTTGATCGAGCCTTAAGAAAACGAGTAGCTTGTTGGTTCATTAATATGTAATGCTTCGATCAAGTCCAATGCTCTCCACTGCGGATTGTTTCATTTGAATGCTAGTCGGAAATCTTGGGAGCCGCACTCGCGCGCTGGAGGTCTCGAGAATGTCTTCTAATCCTTCAATGGGAGAGAAGCCGTATTTAAACAAGTTGAAAGGTTTAAATTTGCAATGTAAAGATGTAACGTAATCAAAAGCCCCGAAGCACGGGAAAAATATTTAACAATGCTTCAAGGAAACGATTAAGATTTACTACCATCTGGATCAAAGTTATAATTTCAAATCGATGACTCTTTATTTCTGTTACTTAATGTCTCAGTAAGAAATCATAATATTTTTTTATTTTATCTCATGTATTTAAGTATTTGATTGGAGTTTACCATATTTCAAATGGCTTTTGCAACTTCCTACTGTACAAATTCTATGAAAAACTTTGATCGTCAAATATGACGTAGCAATGTTCGTACCTCGCTTTAAAAACTTTCAAATAAGCGCATCTCCGCTTATCAGGTGGCGACATCTCGGGATTTCTTTGTACACTCATCAGGGATCTAGCGGTAACAAAATTACTGGTACGCAACGAAATTTCCTACTTGATCGCCATTTAGCAAAAAAAAAAAAGAAAAAAATACAATTTATTGCAAATAGTAACATTGCATGTTGCTTATTTATTTTTGTAAAAATAGATGTATTTACAGTAATATGCTAAAGCTTCATTATTTGAAATATTACGCAAAAGTATATGTTGGAATTGCTGAAAGTGACTTCTCAAGTAGTGTAGTTTAAAACTGATTATCAACACTTTCTTTAGAATACATGATTCAGTATTTCATAATTAAAATTTGTGACGTTCTGTACAAAAACAATAATTTATACATCATTTAATTAAAATTGTTTTAACGGTATAAAAACTTACACATCTAAACGCATCTGACTTGAAATATTCGACAATATCGCAATGATTACATAGATCTTGATGAATTCGTGTCATCCGATGATATGTGAAAAATTATTTTAAGTCCTACAATTGATCTAATACTCGTAACTCCACGTTCGGTGAAACAAATAAATAATCGTAACGAATCAATTTCAGGCACCGTTATATCGCAGAATTAGATTTTTTGTCGTCTATTTCAATTTTAGGCTGGATGAAGCATTATCTCTTTTTTTCTACTTTACAATATCATTTTAGAAACTTGTTTATCCTTATATTTTTTAATAGCGCTCTCTGATCTGTAACAACCAAATTTTAATTATGTGTTAAGTGCGATAAATTTGTAGGAGTTCTGAAAATATATTTTTTAGCAAAACGAATCTTCATGATGTAAAAAGATATTCTGCTTAATATTGTTGCAAAATCATTCTTTTTGAAGAAATATTATCAATAGAAGCAGAATCCTGTTATTGCAATATTCTTGTTACAATATGAATAATTTTGTACCAAAAGGATTTTACTTAAAAATAAATTATTTTTGACACGAGAAGCTAATTTTTTCAGTGGTAATTTTAGCCGTAATGTGTTTTTAATCTAAGTTACGTTGCCTCTTTCAAATTAGTTAATATCTTACTCACTTTCCAAAATCTTCTCCGTCCTGCAAAGTTTCAGGAAGTTCACAGCCATTAGTTTCCGGAAGTAAAATGCAGAGAGCAGCACCAATTATTGGCAATATTCCAAAGATTACAGGTGGTAACCACGGCTTGACTTTGCCCTGAAATAAAAGATGTAAAATTTAATAGATGAGCTGAGAAAATTAAAGTGAAAGTTATGAGTTTTCAAAAATAACGTGTTTACTGAATCTAAGCATTCCATTTGATCAGCAAGCTCGAACTCTTAAATAAAACCACATATCTTACCAGTGAGACGACGAAAGGTGCTAGAATAGATCCTATTCTCGCACACATACTGCTCGTTCCAACGCCAATATTTCGAATGACAGTGGGAAAGAGTTCACCAGAATATAAGTAAACCGTCGTGAACGAGACAGACATACCGACAATGCCAAAGCAAGCTAATATTAATTGAAGCCACTGTAGGTCTGAAACAAATATTAGTACATTAACATTTTGCATAAATTTACAAAAATACTGAAAAATGTTATAACGTGATATGAGATTCTACCCACCTTTGCCAACGAAAAGTAATAGAACAGCAGCAATTCCGGCAATTAAGTTGCTTGCGACTAAAGTTATTCGTCTGCCCAAAGCATTCATCGTCCACCATGCAAGGAAATTTCCGGGAATTTGAATCAGCCCAGAAAGTGCAAAATTGAGGAAGATATCACCACCAACATGCCCAATGTATTGAGACATGCCGAAAAGACCCATTCCACAGACAATCCAGTTGAAGAAAATCGCTAAAGATTTTACCCTCATATTGGGCGTACGAAAGAGATCCAAAAACGAGGCCTTGCCATCTGCCTCGGTTTTCTTAGAATTCTAAAAAGATAATTCGATTTCGTTGAAGAAGAATCTTCATAATTGAATGAATGGGCAAAATTTCATTTCATTTCTTTACCTGATGCAAGCAGTGCTGTCTCACAACTTCTGATATGTCCTGGCCATCTAATTTATTAATTTTGGCACCAGTTTGAAGTACTTTGCAAGCAGCTTTCTGTTTACCCATAGCGAGTAGCCATCTCGGTGACTCGGGAACGACCCACCAATAGCTGAGCAATATAATAGATGGTAAAGTCATAGCTATTTGGAGATGCTGCCAATGTCTAAACCAGTATGCTAAACCGGCAAGTGACATGTGACCTATGCTGTAGGGAATCTGATACAGGATCGTAATTGCAGCTCGCCAACGTTTGCCAACTATTTCCATGCCTGCGCAAACAAACGTGATATGAGATTCTAATTCGATAAAGCTATTATTAACGCAAAGTAAGTTGATGGTTTTTAGAATCATTGAAAATTCACGTGTGTACATTCGTAAATATAGCTTTGGTAATTAACCAATTGTTCGTTGTGCGAGAGACGGTAGCGTTCAATCGGCAACTTTTTGCTTCTACGTGCACATTGATTCGACGCGAAAAGACTCGAATGGAATATTCAAACGATAACAATAAAATGTCAAGACAACTTACAGATTACGTAACTGGTGACCATAGTGCCGCCGGTTGCCAGTGCGCTCAAAAATTTCATGAATAGGAGAGCAGGAAACCACGGAACTACAGCACAGCCAATGCCGGATATTAGTTGCAGCACTATCGAACCCATTAATGGAAGTTTTCGTCCGAACCTGTACGAAGTAATCAATTTTTATTGCTCTAACGATTATTAACGATAAGACAAAAGAATCAAAATGGTAACTCGCCTGTCGGATAAAAAGCCAAAGAAGATACTCCCGAGTAAAACACCAAACATGAGAATCGACTGCTGAAGGTTCGCATAGTACGAGCGTGAACAGACGAGATTCCACTGAAAAGAAAGATGTCCATAAAATTCTGCGCCATACGACTGTGATTATACTGGAGCTCGTCGATATAATATGCACACATGTACCTGTGATATTATAGTCTCAGGAAAGACACTCCTGTCGTACTCCCACTGAGTGCACTCGACGTCAGTGCCGTTGACTTGTACGTAGCACTGATCTGCCGTCGCATTGCCGTACATCGGCGTGGTGCAGTTGTAGGCCTGTTTAGGTGCCATGAAGACAATTGCGAGCTGATGCCAGGCGACGGGAAACTTGACGAGAGATATCGCCGTGCAGACCAAGATCTGCCAACGGCCGAGGTAACCCATCGAACGCTGCACCGCATCACCGTCATCCTCGTTGTCCTGCTGAAGCTGCTTTTGATTGACTGTCGTGGCTGCCGCCTCCGCGTCCTTCCCATTGATTATCTGCTGACGCTGCTTGCCGTTTAAAGCTGCTATCCCATTGAGGATGTCTGTGTCGAGGCATGCCCCACAATAAATCCATTCGATTATTTGTCGCAATGCGAGGAACTTATATATATATGCTCGAGATTGAGCTTTTAGGTAAGTGAAGTAATTATTGTACAGGACTGCCATCGAGTGAAGATTTTACGTAGATTTTCGCTAGCTTAATGATTGTTTCAATGCACGATTATATTCGTCGACTTAATGCCTACTGCAAGTATCTTGTTTTTTTCCATTCCTATAATTTCAGATTTTTGACATTACGCGACAATGCAAACGATAAATTCGTTTCGCTCACATTTGGAAAAAAGTGTCATTTATCCGTATACTCAGCAAACTCGCAGAATGACGTCATTGACATTGTTTTTGCCGAGTCAGATCTAGTACATACGTGAATCATGTTACTTTCTAAAAAAGAGGGCTTCATTCAAGATTAGCAATTACTTCACATTAGATACAATCATATGAGTGACAGGAACTGCTCGACGCATCTAATTACATAATGTGGTTTATTCGTCACTACCATGAAATTACCGCGGATAATTATTTGAGCGTTTGGAATCATTCTTGTTAAAATCGCTTCTAACAGGAGTTTCGAAATTAATTATCTGCTCTATATGTTTATATCTTGGAAGTCTGAAAAAAAGGTACAATGCAAATCCTATTTGCGTTTCGCAAGCCACTATGAATTCTCTATCAAATTTTTTTATCGAGAATTTCTGGATCGTTAATGGAATTATTTATGATAAAATTGTTGAGTTAAAAATGTGACTGAGATACTTTTCTTATAAAAGTTTCTTTGACGGTCGAATTGACATCGCTGCAATTTTTAGCAAAGTAAATAAAACAGTGCTTTTCCTCCTTCAAAATAACTTCAAAGTTCACCGATAAGGAAGGAAAGCACTAGCTAGTCTCGTAGTGACAGATGTTCATTTAGATACGTATAGTAAGCATCGTTAGATGTAGTTACACAGGTAAAATAGCGTATAGTTCACGACCCTGTAACACTTTATTACGAGGATATACATACATCCAAACTAATGCAGCCCCCGGCGGCGAGTGCAAAAGAACGCAGACAGGATGTCGCGCGTGAAATAAGTTGAACGTCATAATGACACGTTTGTGAAGTATACTCGTACACCGCGCGAAAGCGGCGCGAGACACTAAATGCGATGAGTGATGGGGGGAGCCTTGAGACGATCGAGAGCAACCTTCGCGCAGTCTTGCGAGACATATACTGATGGCGGTGCAGGTAATAGCAGCCCTCGAAACGTTCGATATTGGTATTCGCTTTTATTACAGTGAGTAAGGATCAGCAAGAATTTTATATTTTGCGCTACTTATTGTTTAATCTTTCAGTTTTGAGCTAAGATCGGCTTCATAAACATTTCGACGAGGAATTCCCTCTTTTTATTCGAGAGAATGTCAAATGAAAATTACTAGATAGACGCCTAGTTCAAACCAGATAAACTTTTGACTATGACGTTGACGAAGAATTATTTTTGTCCGAAAAGACTTTCGACTTCCGTTAACAAAAAATTTTTTTAGTTTCATTCTTTTTTCAAGAAATCGAAAGCAAGATTATAATGCAGTCGCTGATGAAATGACGTTATTTACGACGTGGTTGTTTAGTAATTCAAGCTGCACGTACCATGTTCGTTGATTTGCAAATTCTTCATTACACTGCCTGGTAATGCAGGTCGTCAGAGTTAACTATTGTCACTCAACCGTTTGTTATTTTCTTTCTATTTTTTTTTTTTTTTTTTTTGAATAAATAAATCTGCAACACAAAAAGTAATAGTAGCTTTTAGAAAATAGTCAACAGTAATTTCAGTATTTTTCGTCTTGTTCAATTTCACGAATCATAAGTAGTTCTAGGAATTGCTCTAATAGAATTCTAAATAATTGCAAATATCAATATGAATATATTCAAGGATCAAAACTACAATACCAACTGAAATCATTTCGTTTACTTTATATAGTGGATATCTTGCACTCCTTGCGTCAAAAATGTTATCATCATTAAGTACATAGATATAAAAGATTATTAATTATTCCAGACCTCCTTGTTACTAAAAACTGAAGAAAAATCGAAAAAACGCGTCAGTTAGTTCGGAAGTTGGAAAACCTAAACACATGGAAAAATTAATCAATTTACTTTGCAGATACGTTTATAGTTACACTGTTTGAACGGATTTCTTAAGTCAATAAATAGTTAGATATAAATGTTCATGTAACTGCTGATTGTTGTAAGTGATTAAATTCGATTGTTTTCGAGATAGTTATGCAAGCTCTTACATGTCTCACTGGCTATTATGAGCACTTTACTTCTTCCGCGGTACTTTTATCACAAGTCTATGTCTTTTGATCTATGAATTAAAAAGTTACAATATAATTTGCACTTATTATGCGAATCGAATGAAGATATATTGAAAATCGATTTATTTTCGAAATAAACTAATTTTAAATATTTTTACGCGAGTATAAAAATGAAAATAAGCAATTAATTATTATTTGATCCATCGTTAATTCAAACTGTCGCAAAGTTATTACATGTTGAAAAGCGGCTTAAAAAAATAAAATGAGTTATCGGTATTTTTTGAGTTGTAAAATGCCTACTTTTCGTCAGCTAAGTTGCATGAATAACCTGTTACGCAATCGCAAACAAACATGAGCTTCCTTGTAAACTGCATAAAAACTGCATAAAACAGCTCCCTCGATCTTGAACTTAACGCTTGACAGTGACAGTTCAAGTCCTTTCTTGCAGTTATAATCAGAGGTTTCAAGTAGTAACCAATAATCGTAACGATCGTAGCGAAACCTGGAGAGGAAAGTGGCGAAGAATTTGATAGATCGATCCCTGTGTTTGAAAAGCTTTGCGTAGTCGCATCACGCAGACCCTGACATTAACGTCAGCCGCGCGTCTATCGCATAAATTATCCTAACGAAGCGGTTCTCGCGTTACCCGAGCTTGGCTTTATTAGCAGCTACAGACTTCAATTCTTTCCTCTATTCGTGCTCGAGCTTGTTAGACAAACGGCCTCAAGCATTTCGGCCGTTGACATTAAACATCGTCGTCGCATGCTTATCATCGAACTAGATAGATCTGCAAGCTACGCCAGATCTGCGCATGTATTTTTTTCTTCTGGCAAGGAGCGAATGATACGTCTGAGGGAAATAGCAAACACAATGTCGAGGAAGAGAAGCATTATTACAGTGGTATTTAAGATTACATATGGAATACCAATTTCTTTTTTCCATACTGAGGTAACATAGCAGACGTCGCCGCCGGTCTCGCGCATATTTTATGCTGATAAGAGAATATATGGTCGTTAACATAAGCAATGTTTAATGCAAACGACTGCGTGTGTGATCGGTTTATTGAACTGTATCTGCCGCGAGGAAAGAAAAATACGCCGTTCACTCGTCGATGTATCGAAAATCAACGGTAAAAAAAAAATTACGATAATGCGAATTCCTGATTAATTGCTCATTTTTTGCCTTGCTCTTGCTATGTCAGTCATTATACATGAATAATATCATTACAAATCGTTGACTATTATGTTTTTCCTTGAATATTAAAGAGAAAAAGACATTATCAAAGCTCGTAACGACAATCTAAATAAATAAATGCATAAAAGTAATAGAGGATGTAAATTAACAGTATGATATCTCCTGCAATACTACTTTTCACATAAATCAATTAGTAACTCGAGATGTGTGATCAGGGCAGAAACGTACTGCGCGTTCGATGAAATAAATCAACACTTAAACAAACTCGTAAAGCAATAAAGCATGAAAGCATCAGCAGCGCGAAGAGTATTTCACAACGGCGCTCAATCATAGAGAGTAGCAAGCGACTACGTGGGGAAGGAAAGAAGTAAAAGAAGTTGCCGATAGAGTGCAACGCGGAGTACGGCTACATAGACGTAAGCGTGAGCGTTGGCTAGTTGGACGATTATCGTGCAAAGTTACCTGCAAGTTATTACGGCTTTATAGCTAGCATCTTCGTGGAAGAAAGAGAGATGAAGCAGACCTAATTATAAACCGACGTGTTGGCCGTCGGCGGCGGCAGCGGCGAGCTTCTGCATGATCCCGCAACGAACGACTAGCAGTAGCAAAGACTCTGGCAAGCGGGCAACTCTCTGATCTGTCCGTCGGTCCGTCGAGCAATTTTCGAGGGAGGGACGGACGGCTGGACGCCACGGTTTTAATGCGCGGTTGTACGCGCGCTGCCCGTCTGCATGGCTTTTCCAAGAAAGTGCGACAATCGGCTCTTCGGCGAAAGAACGTTACGCGCGCCGGTTTCGCCAAGCACGCACAAGGAGGCTCTTTTAATCGGGCCGCTCGTCGTCGTTGCCCGGCGATTGCGGGGAAAAGCGACGCCTCGCTTGTCCGCCGGTGCGTCTGCTCGACGAGACCGTTTCGCTTGTTCATTACTTCAAGTGACGATTGCTTGATCGTTTTCAATTCGGCGCTGCAACTTTGTTCGACAACTATGCCGTAATGACTTTCGGCTTTGCGAACCACGGTCTATACATGGATACGCGCGTGCCGTTGCCAATTACGCACTTGAGAATAGAGCAACGACGAAATTTCCACCGTTCGCAATTCCTTGCAATTTGTCCAGCTGACATTTTGTATCTTCTAATGAAAGCATTCGCTCAATAATGTTCAAGTCAATCGGAATAGCAATTTTATTCTTGTGACCGATCAATCCGACTGCCGAAGATATTTAAAAGTTATTACTGCACGTGCACATTCGGTTGTGGATAAGAAACTTTAGTAAATGAAGGATAAATAGGAGGTGATCAGAAATGACACGAAAACAGGATCTATAATCGCTAACGACTACAGTACCTTCGTTTAATGTTATTCGTCGTGTCTTCGGAAAGCTCGTCTGTCGAGTGGTCGAGTATCTACCTAAGTGTGTACGAGAGATTATTAGCAAGAAGCAATTTTGAAACCTCAATTGGCTAATACTACGTTTGGTCCCGACCGCGCGACCGCAGTCTGGACTTTCGCCGACGACGATGGGAAATGTCATTCTCGCGTACGCGAGGAATTTCCACCCGAGATCATGAGAGAAGCTTGTTGGCGCGGCTGTTTATTCGAGCGCGCTTCGCGATGCATCATCTCGCGCGCACAAAAGCAATCCGCACACATGCACACAGGAAAATTGGCATAGATTCCAAGCGGCGCTAGCGCGCGAAATATCGCTTGGCCTTGGCTTCCAAGTCAACTGCTGCGCACGTTTATGCACGTGCAGCTCGCGAGCGACGACATGAATGGCGGAGTACTCGTACCCTTCTTTTGCGATCAGAAAGAAAAAAAAACAAGCAATAATCCGCGCGCGAGAGGAAGCCCTCGTATCCGGCCCCTGCTGCCACTCTTTGCGAGTCACAAACGACTTTTAAGAAACTACTAGATTATCGTGAAGACCTGTCGCAGCCGACGATTAATGGCAGACGAGGCGCGACGAGGTTTAGGAAAGCTTTCGATATAGCTGGAACTTTTCCAGCTTCTAAAGGTGCGCTACGACAATAATAATGATTCGTTAGTATTGAACACTTGAATTTTATATTGCCTCGATCTATTTGTCAACAGCAGTGGCTGCCGCGCGTGGACGTAAGTGTAATTAAAAAGTTAGTCGACAAATTTTTTCGATCTCATTCGGCTTAATAGCTTGAGCGAATAACCTGCCATCAAAATACGCTTTAAGGAATCTATTTCAACGATTGCCATCGGTACATCGCTTCACGTTCGTTAGGAAAGTCACGCCATTTGCCGGCCTTCAATTACTCCAAAGACACAGCAGTTTAAAAAGCATTACAAGCTCACTGTCTTGTATTTTCAAAACTGACATCTGAAACGAATACCCGTGCAATTGCATGAAAGTTACACAGAGTACGCAAATAAAAAGCTCATAGCTCGACGAAATTGGAAAATAGATTGTCCAATTAATGTCATCGGTTATTCCCACCAATTTTTAGCAATTACATCCATGGGTAATTGGCGGAGTAAAAACGCGCGGACGAAAAAGAAAAATTGGCGCTTCTAACCAGCATAGCTTTTATGCAATAAGACGATTTAGAAGCTGCACGAATGTTTGTGTAGAGATGCAAATCATAGGTCTAATAATTTGTTGAAAGATAAAATGTCTTTAATGACTCTCTTACGCTCATTGTGATGTAATTACCCAACGACTTTTCAGATTATGCAAGCGCTTACATTTTCTTTGATTTTCTGCATTTTTACGTATGCCCCGCAAGCTATTAAAGCTTACGTTACTAAATTCAAGAGGAATGAAGCGAGTGGCGAAAAAAAAAATGCGTATAAAGGAAACGGCAAAGTAAGTAGTTAATTGGCTGACATTTGCCGCGTAGAGTCTGCTATCTCTGTAACGATCTGACTATCTTAATTGCGTTCTAAGCGTTCAGCGGCTTAAGCTCAATAAAAGATTCATTGTTGTCAATGATTATAATTACTTCCCATTTGTCACGAGCATCCCTTTGAAATCGGTGATCGAGTGGCAGTGAGACACAGTGATAATCTCGTATGGAAATCTTCAATGTAATTTACATATCGAACGGTCGTAATCGAATTAACCCAGCAAACCAATCTGAATTAGAGCTGTATTTGAATACGAACAACTGAAGTCAAAGTAGAAAGTAGGTCACGACGATTTCCAAGAACAAAGTATACGAAAAAAATGACATGGGCACGATCGAGCTCATTAATAATCTAAAAGAGCCGACAGTCTTAGATACACTATCGGAATTCCGACTAATCGCAGCTGTGATTGACGACTGCTTGTACAATATTCATTCAGCGATATTCATCTGTAAATTTCCTCCGCAACCACAAGTATAAACACTCGGTCCATCGAAAATTTCAATATACGCCTAGGACTCGTCGCGCTGTTTAGTCAGTACGCCTCAAATCGGTAACGAGGCTCGATCTTTTCATTTACCGCACATTCGCACTCCGTGATATACATGCTACTGCTATCGGCAATAACATTTCAATAAGTACCGAAATAGCATGGCGTCAAGCCACTCGTAGAGATCCCGTAAGAAATCCTGCGCACTTGTTTTTTTTCCCTATATATATATATGCATAAACGTTCGGTGTACGACTCCAATGCCCGCAACAATTACGTAGTTTTCCTCACGACCTGATGTTTACAATCGATTTGAGTGAGAAAAATGTTTTGCGTCAGTAGCTCGGTTATTGGAAAATATTGCAACTTTGACAAAGAAATAACATTGCGTATTCGTACCGAGACTTGCAGTATTGATGACTTAATGCGTCGATTATAACATTTTTTTTTCTTTTGAGCCATTTACAAGCTTTTACTATATTTTCCTTTTCGGCTTGTCACTTGTTTTTATCTTTTTCTTCATCGATTTGTATTTTAACATTTTTAAAATAGGTTTTTATGCAACGAAGAGCAGGATTTTTATCTTGAAAGGTTAACCAACCTTGAATAACGCCTGACTGTCATTTTATGAATTTCATAATGAATATTACCTAGATTTCATCGACACGGTATGATAATGATTCCGGTCAAAAAGAAAATTCAAATGAATTGACGCGTGATTTTTTTGTTGCTTCCACGCAACGTACGCTCTTTTCTTGCTCATTTGAAATATGCGGAATGATGTAAGAAAAATTTGTTCATTGACCTTTCTTGAAATGAATTGAGTGTGATAATGAAAAGTAGAAATATAGTTTTTCAATCGTCATGACATATATTTGACGAGTCATCACATTAGAAAGTATAGCCTAGAGAGTTAATATAGTATTGTTTGCATAATAATTTGATTTGCAATAAAATAATAATAGAAAATCCCAGTTGTGTAAATGTTTCTCACGAAATGTCTGTCTGGATTGATGGAGCTTTGCGTTGTAAAAATCGACGCGGTCAGTCGACTAAAATGACGAGAGACAAAAGAAAGAATGGAAAATTGTGAAAAAGCAGACGTTTTGGTTTGACCGATAATCGAACCGTTGCCTTCTCATACGTATTACTCGATAAAGATGCTTTGGTTTTGCGTAACCTCTTGTGACGTGATTAGAAGCCCTCGGTAATTGATTCCGAAGAAAGCCGAGCGATCTCTTTTTCAGGACAGTTTGACGTTTCGCTCAAAATCAAAGTCAATCATTTAGATGTTTCTCTAAACGACTTTCAATGCCATTTCAAGTTCTCGCACAGTACGTACACTCATACTATTGAATGGCCAATCAGAAGCGCTTACGGTTCATTCATAAGGCAATAGATATACATACATGGCGAAAGCGCAAAGCGACGAAGGGTGACGAGCGGTGAATTTGCCGGCGAAGTAAATCGTAAAGTAAATCGAGAGGAAAGAGAGCGCGACGAGTATCGAACGATTTTCTCGAATCCGGCGAGAAAATGGAAATGACGTAGAGCGCGCCAAGCAAAAGTGTCAACTCACCTCTGTACGCGTGCGTTCCCACGAAGGTAGATATGCTTATTCAAATATGTATCTTGCTTATTGACCTCCGGAAGTCGTCAGGCCTCGTGTGTGCGTACGCGCGTCTGTGCAATCAGACGGTGCGTGCGGCGCTGTCGCAGCTGCGGAAGCGGGCCTCCTCGGCAACGCACGTGCTCCCGCAAGACTCGTTTCAAGCTGCGCCCGTTTTATATCGTGGAGCCGCGACAGGGATAAAGCTTGACTCCGTGCGTGGCTTTTTACAAACTGCCCACTGCGGCTACCAATGTTTTATCTTCGGCTGAGTGTATCTGTCCAACGGTAAGCGTCTCTTCTTTCAAGTCCTTATCGCCGCGAGGAAAAGAACAACGAAAGCCACCTCTCTCGTTCGCGATGATTCTCTATATCACATTCTCGTCTAGGCTCGTCGAGCCGCAGAGTCGAGAGCCGAAGCGCTGTCCACTTGGCGATACGTGCGTGCGAAAATCGTAAGTCGAGAGTCCAACTTCGAACGTGAGTAAGCACCGCGAGTCCGAGTTTCGCATCGAGCGCTTACTTCTCTGCCAATGCGTTCTCCAGACAAGTGGCACGCGTGTTAAAGAGCGCGCCAAGCCGAGCCGTAGCTCTTGGAAGAAGGAGAAGGTACAGGCACCGACGACATACGTACTTACGTGCGGGAAAAACGCTTAACGAGCATATACATTCATACGCGTGCGCGTATGCGTATCGATAAGTCGCGAGTGAGCAAGTGCGGCGTTTGCGTGTGCTGGTGCCGCGGCAAAAGAAACGTAGTGAGAGATGGCGCCAGAGGATGAATGCCTGTCCATCGAAGCATTTAATACATTCCTTGTACATATACCGCTAATAATACAATTCTCTTGCCAATCACGTTCGCGCTTTACTATGGCGAGTCACCCGACCGCGCGGATACATGCCAGTTTACAGGCCACTTATGATGCATTGTGAAAAAAAGCTTAACGGCTTCCTATTATTTTATGCTCGCTCTAACGTATGCTTTACTCAAAACCGTTTCGACAACGAGATCCTGACCGTTTTCACTTTTCTTACGTTTCTATTTCAACATTTACAGTACGTCTTTCAGAACATTTTCAGATTCATTTGTTAGTTGAAAAACATTCAATTAGTTTTAAAAACGTTATATGTAATTCAGCATTCAGATTTTGTGTCCTCTTGACAATACATCAATAATGTAATTCAACTGACCTTGTAATGAATCCATACATAATGAATATATGGCGATAGATATTCATATGTTATTTATTCAGATTACTGTATCGATTACAACGTGAATCACACCTATATATTAGGATTTTGTCAACATGAATGAAAATAAAACATGTTTTATCGCTCAGCACAAATGATCTAAAGTAATAATTATTAATAACAAAATCAGCTATTAGCGGAAATGGTTTATTTGTATAATTTATTGGATATTCAAATTGTGATAGTGAACGTTTCTTTGAACTTAAACAAAGCATCGACGTATAGCTGCGTGGAAAATTTACTTCTGACGCGAAATAGTAGACAAGAGTCAGAGAAAAAATGAACATTGAACATCGTTATCGCAAGGGAAGAAGCGGAAAATGAGATTCATCGAATACATCACAGATTAAACTTGCTTACGTGACGATAGCGGACAAACTCTTCAGCGGCTAATTTATTTTTAATTTCAATAATTTTTATTGACTTAAAAAAATTGTTAATCTCACATTATAATACTTAATTTTTAATATTACCAGTTATATTCCAGTCGTCATAATGTTTGCTTATGAGAGAGTACAGGGAGCTGTTACTGTTGATTCTCGATGACACTAATATACGTTTTTTATTCATACTTATGCGTACATACATCCGTGTTATTATTATTATTATTACTTCAAGAAATACATTCACGTTGAACGCTGCAGAGGTACACTAGGTAGTACCTACATTAGTATTATAATTAATCCCCTATAGTCACGTAGACTTACCTGCTCTACCACTTTTGGAATGGTAAGAGAGGAGAAGTTTTTTACACGCATCATGACTGGACCGACAATCTAAAGTGAAATCTAAACCATAGAAATCGGTAACAAACATTTCTAAAAATATTCATATGCCCAGGGCCCGAACCCACGATCTCTTTTACAGAAGCCTAAGCTCTTACCCGGTGAACCGCGTGTATATATATACTTGACATAAGTAAGTTGAATGAACAATGTTGCTATTTTGATAACTTATCTCTTTCTAAAACTTCTAATATAAGTACTGGCATTGTAACAAAATTATTGGTTGACATATAAATATAAATAATTGTTTCCTTAATTTTTGCCAGGTTCATTAAGATTAGCTATCTCTAAACTTGGAATTATAAAAAAAAATTTATTTAAAAAATATTTTTACCTTGAAGGAAACCTTCAAGAAATTTAACGATTTTATTAGCCTGAACTAACTTGGTGTAAATATGACTTATTTAAAATACATTATCTATTTAGAATCTTATTAAAAATTTTGGACTCAACATATTATTTAACGAAATGCATATTGAGTTCCCGAATTGATGGATTCAAGCTTGAAACATTGATTTCTCATTGCTCAAATGATATTAAAAATAGTTTACCTTGTTAAAAATAGAAAGAAATTTGTCAAAAATAGTTATAGCAATTTTTGTTTAAAAATTAAATAAACAACAATAAGTACAATAAAAGCTTTTTGAAGCATTTTGCCTTTCAATCTTTACGTTTCTTTCTACCAAGGTAGGGATAATATTGAAACAATAGATTTATTCAAAGTTGAATGAAACAAAACTTAAATAAAATAAAGATTTTTAGAATCTATATCAAATATTATTTTTTTTACGTTTAAATCTGACTGAAATTCATTTTAAAAAATTATTGCAAGAGAAATAGAAGTTCACGGAAACAGAACACGATATGATTTAAAATTACGTGCGAATGACGTTAAACGAAACATCGACTTAAGATCTAAGGATAGTACGATTTGGCAATAACTCAACCATATCAGGTTGGATCTGATAAGATGACGAAATATAATGAATAGCTATGATTCGATCTTTTTAGCTACAGCGATGTCAGTCCTTTCAGTGAATGTATGAACTTAATTTTTTACACGTTTAATCAATAACAATAAATTATTTTACGAATAAATCACGAGTGAATTTTGATATTTCGTATTATTATATTAGAACAGAAAATATGAAACTCTTCATATTCGAAACAATTCGAACATGGATTATAATAATTAGTAATTATTCGATCATTAGTAATCATACGATCATTGCTACAATGTCTTGCTAAAAATAATTTCTTGAAACGGATTCTTTATTTACATGACTCACAATCAAAACAATTGTAAATTTTGCGAGAAGCTTTCGAATTCAAAATGCGCACATGAATTTTTGATAAGAAGTTCATGACATGCAATGATATAAAAAAGGTAGCACCATCTGCATGATGGTTTATTGTATTATATTCTTTGATTTGACAATACGCAAAGTATATTTTGACGAAAATGAAAGGTAAGACTAAGTTCTTTGTCGTTTAAAATTATAAAAAGTATTTTCATCAATATTTTTTTATCTATGCAGTGGTACTTCAGATTTTCATTTTGAAATATCTATTTTTTGTTACTTTGGTATCATCGGGATCAAAGACCAAACAATTTTCAGACTTTTTTTCTAAGGAAAAAAATGAAGATTACGGTATCAAAGAAAAAACGAACAGTCATGAAAATTTCGAATTTTATCGACGTTTTATGCATGAACATACATTGAAAGAAAAGAATCGAAGAGGAGATTATATCACATATTATTTTCAAAAACCAAGCAAAGTCGATGAATTACATCAAGAAGAAGATTCATCAGAAGATGATTCAAATGACTTATCTGAATGGTCTGTTGATAGTATTAAATTGTTAAAAAATGAAATTAGTTATGAAAAGAAACATTCAAAAGAAAATAAACATGGAAAAACATCTAAAAATACAAGAAACCGTGAAAACAAGAAAAATAAACATACCATCTCTGACTCTAGTGAATCTAATGACGAAAGTGATTTCCATTCGCATGAAAAAAATTTTAATATAAAGAAAAAATACATCAATTCAAATAAACACGGTAAAGAAAGCTTTGATAAGAGGGAGAATTTAGAAACAGTTGAAGATGGTTCAAAAGAACATTCATCAGAGGAAATATTTCAGAGTCTTAGACATAATCAAACTCAAAATTTTACAACCATGCTGAGTAAAAAAGATAATTCTAAAATTAAATCATTACTGAAAAATTTAAGTAAATCCTCTTGTCATAAAAAATTATTAAATAGTAAAGATGAAAATAAAATCGATCTAAATTCAATGCAGCAAGAAACAGTCATTAAAAATTGGCAGAAACTGAAAAATATAATCAAATCAATACTGATTGATAACTATAAGTATACAGAAAAAATTATATTTTCAGAAATTATGAATAATAAACAAATCAACCGCCAACAAATTTCTAGATTAGAGGTGAATCTTCTTCAAAAGTATTATTTATTGAAAAAAGATCTCTCTCAGACTATAAATGTTGCAAAACAGGAGTTCCGAATTTTTATTTCAAAACAAGATCTTAGCAAAAAGAAAATCTATGATGTTGAACGTTTATATATTAATCAGTTTAAAGATCAAATTATTGAAAAAGTATTTGCATTCAAACAAAGTATTCGATCTGAAATAGATAAATTTCAATTAGAATTAAAATCTGCCACAAATCATACTAAAAATCACCATGAAAAATCAACTGCAATTTTAAAAGAAATTAGTACTCTCAGGCCGTTTGATTCAGTTTTTGAAAATGAAACGATCATTGATCATGAAGTCAACGTGTCACCATCAGTGAAAATAATATCTGCTGATCATATTGCTTCTTCAGAAATACTAAATGGTTCTTTAACTGGAACTAATGAATATATAAACCATTTTGATAATTTGACAGATTTCAATTCAGGTAATTAAAAATTCTTCTCACCCTTCTCATAAATGATACGTTTTTGATTATTACAAAAAAATTAATGTACCTCATATCTTTCATTCAATAAAATGAAATATCTGCTTTTTTCAGTGCTTTACAAAAACTCTAATAGAATAACTATTGAACATGATTCCAAATCATCAAAAAACACAAAGTTAAATAGTGAGCTCGATGGAAACATGCATAAAGTAAATAAGTTTATGGATTCTTTAGCAGGTGGTAAAACTCCATCTCTTAAGATCGATATTTTTCCTAAATTAAATACTGCATCAAAGATAAATAGTCCTGCTATTTCTGCTTATGATCAACTTCCTGAATTCTCATCAAAAAATATTTTGATTCCATCTCGTGTTAGTACTATATCAAAAAATGAACAACCAGAATTAACACAACCATCATTTTCAATTGTCGATAACAGCGTACTAGTACAATCAAATTCTCAAGATCCTACAGTATTCTATTCGCACGTAACTCAACATCCACTTAAAAATATTAGGATCGAATTGCAAAAGAATGAAACATCAAAACCTGGTTCAAAGGCAGAAATTGAAAATGGTATAGCTTTGTTGAATGGTAAGACTGTACGTCAAAATAATGATACATTATTGATGGGCAATAAAAATCTGCAGCAAAGAAATTTAACAGTGACTCATACAGATAAAGTCGCAGTGACAGCAAAAAATGAAATTGATACCAATTTACGTAATAATGCAACAAAGTCAATATCATCTGCAGTAAGTGATAATGCAGGCTCCTCCGGTTCGTTAACTCATGTTCGCAACACGTTTCAGATAAAAAATATGACTACTGATAAAAATATAACGATTGATGCAGAAAATTCTGCTAATTTTGATAAATTTAGTCAAATAGATCATCCAGAAACTTCGATAGTAAATAACGGCAAATTAATCAAACCAATCAACGATAGTCATAGGACAGAAAACTCTCTATTGGTCGATCAACAGAACAGTACAGAAATACCTAATAATAATATTATTGCAAAAAATGAAGTTAATGATCTTGATCAACATAATATAATAGATATTGGTATTCCTAATTCAATCCAAGAAAGCCATGACGTCACACTTATCAATAGTCAAATTAACGACACAAAATTTACTCAAAATCCAAGGGAAGCCAATTTGATTTCAACAGAATCTAGCATAACGACTAAACAGGAACTGAATAGAGTAATTGATAATGTTAGCGATATTTATGATTCTGAAAAACATAAGTCAACTTTAAATGTCACAAATGTTTATGCAAATTCTGGTGCGAATTCACGTACCAATAATTCTTCAATAGCATCGAAAAATTTAAACGAAACTGTCCAAACTACAATTGCATATAATACAGAAATTCCTAGTTATTTTAATCAAGCATACACAATGCCAACGCTTTTTACTGAAAATGTAGATGAACATAAAACTGTAAAACCGATCGATGGCAACATAGAAAACATCACTGTTCAGAATAATTACCTGATTCCGTACGACGTTAATACAGAAAAAATTCAAAGTACAAGTGATTTTAATAAAATACTTGAAAAATCTGACGTTAATAAAACAAATGCCATTGGTCTTGTAAATTCAATTGATAATAATGTACGTATGGAAAATTCTCACTTACTACTTAGAGCGGAAACTACATCTGGATTGCAGAATGATGAAAAAAATATCACCACATCTGAAAAACAAGATGTTAATGATATTGCATCTGAATTTATTACGACTTCTTATCTTTACGAATCAACTACACCGTTCAATAACAATGATGAAGTAAAATTTTCCCGTAATAGAACTACATACAATGGCAAAATAGAAAATATCCCATTCAATTATTCAGATAGTAATCAAAACGTTAATTTCACAGACATGTCTGTGAGTCAAACAATTCCAATTAAAAATATTACAAGAAAATCAAGTAACTTAAATTTCAACGATAGTACGGCTGGAAATATCGATCAATTGATTAAAAATCAATCTAAAAAAATTACGCAAATAAATCCGTCTACAAATAATAATAGTTACAACGAGGTAACTACTCCATATAGTTCTCCAATTATAGGAGAAGATTTTATGGACCAAATTGTAATAAATGATACAATAAAAGTGTTACCTAATAAGACATCCGCAATTGATTCAACTAGCTACGCCAATGGTGAAATTACAACCAATTTAACAAAAAATTTAGATAATAGTTATCTTTCCGTTGCAACAACTAGTAGTTTAAATATTAGCTCTGACAAAGATTTTGGCACAGAATTAAAAGTAGAAAAGACAGTGAACGATAATAAAATAACTAGTTCAACTGTTTCAACACTTACAGTAGATTCACAAATATTACATTCAAACTTGAATGAAACGATTCCACGTAAAATCAGAAATGGAAAGAATACAACCAATACTATCAGTGAAGAAAAAAATATTAGCACAACACTTATACCAGATAACAAAATTAATTCAACCGTGTGCACGGATGTGAAAGGCGCTGTTGTAGACTGTGAATCCTTGATCCTACCAACATCAGGAAGTAGTACAAAAACAAACGTTAACATTGAAAATAAAAAACCTACAATGAATTTATGGCCTGGAGTTCCGCATGCATGTCTTTCACTATTCTTAGCATCAGATGGGAATGTGTTGAAAGAAATTCCTTCAACAGTTAATATAGCAGATGCTCAAACTCGGAATTTGTGTTTGTCTATAGCTAAAACTGTAATTCAATTGAATTCCCTATCTAGCATGAAGTGAAAGTTTTAGATTCAAATTTAGTTAAGAAATGATGTCTAAAACGATAAATATATGAATACTTATACAAATCAATCATTGTTATAGTAAAAAGAATTGGATATACAGTAATCGAAATTGGATAATTTTTGCTATATTTTATGAAACAATTCAATAAATACTGTAAATTTAATAAATGTAATAATGACAGCAACTTACTGTAATCAATCAATTCAATCTTTTATCGCTTATTCAATTAGATTTTTTTAGAATATCGTCTTGAAAGAAATAACATTTTATACCAATAATTTTATAATTAATTTTAATTTTAACGTAAACATTTTCAATGAGAAAATCGTAATTTTAAAGTAAAGCTTGAAGGAAAAGAAATAAATTTTGTTCGTGACTGTAGAAGGACGTTGTGTAAATAAGAAGCAGCACAACTTGAGATAAATGTTATCAAACTTATTCCTTGTCTGTTGTGGCCAGAGGTCTGAGTTGGTTAAGAATGAATGAAAAACTCGTGCTTCAGTCGCTGTTAGTTTGCTGTATAGTGTAGAAACCAGTATAGCTCAGTGCATTAAAATGCTGTACGCTACAATTATTTTTCTCGTTACAATTACATCTAGTTACGCGAAGAACTCTACTGAAAATAGTGTAAGACTTATTAAATATGTTCGAACAAATCATTTTCAAATTTAAAATGTTAAAGTTTCAAATAAGTTTATATTACGCGTAAAGCTGGTCGATACGTTTTGAATATCGAAATTTTTACGAACATGAATAAGTGTTAGTGTTCCGTTAATTATAATCTAAACAGAAAACCGTTCGTAAATGGCCGTAATAATCACTATTTCAAACTACATAAAACAATATGAATTACTGATCGAAGTAAATCTTATTTTTTTTAATATATAGTTTTCTAAAATTGTACTTGTCTTATGTAGACTGATTATAATCAACGAGTATGTTTAAAACAATAACAAATATTAAAATATATCGAATACGATACCATCAATTGTATTTACTTTAAATAGGTCGCTGCTCGAATGAGCTTTGCTATTGATTATGAAAATAATCAATTTTTACTTGACGGAAGACCATTTCGGTATGTTAGCGGTAGCTTTCACTATTTTCGCACGCCCAGAGAGTATTGGAGAGATCGATTGAGAAAAATGAGAGCAGCCGGTTTGAATGCTATTTCAACGCAAGTATACTAAGCTACCTAATTATATTCACTTAAGATATACCATTTCGGAATGAACATAAATATGATATTGTTCAAACTTTTCATTTCAACAGATATGTAGAATGGAGTTTTCATCAACCTGAGCCAAACAAATGGATTTGGAACGGGGATGCAGATCTTGTAGAATTCATTAAACAAGCGCAAGATGAAGATTTGTTAGTTTTATTAAGACCAGGACCTTATATTTGTGCTGAAAGAGACTTTGTGAATCCTCATCTTCTTATATACTCATTAATCATCATATTAATAACATTTTAAAATGTTATTTTTAGGGCGGCTTCCCATATTGGCTACTCACTCTTGTACCAGATATAAAACTACGTACTAATGATTTACGTAAAGTTCAAGCAGTATGATTGACTAACATTCTTACTAAATAAACAGTAAATAAATTTTCATTTTTTTAGGTTATTTACAATATGCCGAAGAATACTTGAATCAAGTTCTGACTAGAGTAACGCCGCTATTGAGAGGTAACGGCGGACCTATCATCATGGTTCAGGTATTATTTTTGTAAATTTATACAACATTGTAAATAAAACTATTATTTCAATTATTTTCTTCAATAAGGTGGAAAATGAATATGGAAGTTTTGATGCATGCGATAAACATTACACGAAACGATTGAGAGACATAATAAAAAACCACGTTCAGGATAACGCAGTTCTCTATACAACTGACGGTGCATACCGCCAAGCATTACGTTGTGGGCCCATACCAGGAGTTTACGCAACAGTCGACTTTGGTACGGCAACTAATATTACTCAAAATTTCAAATATATGCGGGAAATTGAACCGAAGGTAAGGTAAAATGTTTTAATAGAAGGAAAACACGAGCATTCGTGAACAGAAGTTATTGAAAGTATGATTTCTAAGGGACCATTAGTAAATTCAGAATTTTATCCTGGATGGCTGTCACATTGGGAAGAACCCTTTCAAAGGGTGGAAACTAAAAGGATAACCAAAATGTTAGACGATATGTTATCACTTGGAGCATCGGTCAATTTCTACATGTTCTACGGAGGAACAAATTTTGCTTTCACTGCGGGTAAGTGTTTCAAGAATGAAAAAATATATTTTATCAATTAATGTATTATTAGTTTCGTCAACCACGTTTTGCGCGTTCATTTAATGCTTATAAAATTAATGTGCAATGTTTGATGCTTGAATTAAATCAACATTGTCATAAAAAAATCTATGTCTGAAAAATATACGATAATTCTAAGATTTTAAATGTCTAATTTCCGCCGGTATTAATTAGTAAATAGCTATTTGATGATGTTAATGTTCAACTTTAGCAACCATTGCAAATATTTTATTAATTTGACACTTGTCTACATTGTTGATGACATTTATTTGAATTTTAACTTCATAACAAAGATATTCAATAAATTTAAAAATCTAAAATGCCTAGAATTTTCACTTATCACTAATTTGCTGAACATATGAGCTGCAGAACTAAATTACACCATGTGCCCAATACACGTGCATACGCATATTAGTTGGTTGTCACATAACAATAACCCACGCAATACATTAAGCTAATCAGCTCACAAAGCAAAAAATTTTACTTATCAGGACATTAATTTTTTAAGAAAAGAAAAATGAATTTGTATTATTCTTGACTAATCAGTGAATCAATACTTCACTTTTAACCCGTGATTCGAATTGGTATAAGTAAACATTTTTTTTTAAATATCTTCGGAAATTTAACAATCGCAGTATTACAAAATAATCATTAAATATCTCGTTGTATGAAAATTACATAATTTTTATTTTTGTATAGGTATGATGATTGTATTTTTTACTTCACGAAATATTATGAATATTACTATTACTAATAAAATTAAATAGACCATTGTAATTTATAGGCTCTAACATATTCAAAAATTATACTCCGGATTTAACATCTTACGATTACGATGCTCCCCTTACTGAAGCTGGAGATCCTACTTCCAAATATTTTGAAATCAGAAAAACTATTTCAAAGGTATTGCATAAGACAAAACTTAAACCCATACTAATAGAAACTCGTTAACATAATATTTGACTCAAATAAGTATGATATATTATAAAAGTTAAAAGATATAAAGATAGATTTTTAAAAGTATATGATTTATAAATTACAGTATCTTCCATTACCTAACATACCGATACCACCAGTATCTTTAAAAGGCGAGTATGGGATTGTAAAAATGAGACCAGTTTTGCGATTGTTTGATCCTGAAGCACGTAGCTTATTTGGTACTGAAGTGGTATATTCAAAGGAACCGCTTACGTTTGAGGCCCTTAACATTCCAAATTGGCTTGTTTTGTACGAGGCCAATTTACCATCATTCGATATCTCAAATAATAATGCTATATTAAAGGCTAGTCCAAAAGACAGAGCATTAATTTATTTTGATGGTGAATTTGCCGGCACTTTCAGCCGAACTCACAATGTAAAAAGTCGACTTTTGGGACCAACAAATGCTAAAAGCCTTCAAATATTAGTGGAAAACCAAGGACGTGTCAATTTTGGTAATGTAGACGTTGAAGATTTCAAGGTATTTATTGTTTTACATGCTATATACGTATGAAAACAAAGCATTTTAGTACAGCTGTCAGTTTTTTTTAGTTTGAAATTCAAATTTATATTTATTTATAGGGAATTTTTAATGTTACACTGAACGATGTCACAATTTCACCATGGAATATTACTGGCTTCAGATTTGATACCATTTTTGAATCGATTTTAACTGCAATAAAATCACCGACGGCTGAAATGGAAACATTAGTTAGCGGACCGCAAATATTAATTGGGCATTTCGATGTAATCGGAGTTCCCCGAGATACTTACTTAAATACAGCTGAATGGGGAAAAGGAGCAGCCTTTGTTAACGATCGTAATCTTGGTAGATATTGGCCTCTTGTAGGACCTCAAATGACTTTGTACGTTCCTGCTGCATATTTAAAGGAAGGAAAGAACACCTTAGTTTTGGTTGAGTTGGAATATGTTCCTGTAAATCGCAAAATCAATTTTCAAACAGTTCCAGTATTAGATTATACTAACAACGCAACCAAAGTTGAAAACGTGTCAACTTGATAAAGAGAACTAGAATAATCTTTTTTAACAAAAAAACATTTTAATATCAATTGCATTTTAATTCTAATTTTAATATATAATTTCGCATGCTGGAACTAATTATTATTTGTATGATCTAATATAATGCTTTTTATTGTATGTATAACTTGTTAATTATACGTAAAAATATTTTTTTCTTACATAATAAATGTAAGTTTCTATTGTGAAACTTAAAACTCTATATCTTAATTAACAATCTACAGCTTAAATTATCAGTGTTATAAGTCATTTTATAGCATATGTGCTTTCTTTTTCTACATTAATTTATTCAGATGGTAAATTTACCGGTACTGTGTTTGCAATTGACCTTTTTCATAAAAATTAAGCATCTATATGTTTTACATTTAATAAAATTGTGTAGAATCGGCATCTGTATGAAACGAACCCTACCCAAGTAATCAAATCACTTTTTAAATTATTAATAAGTTATGGTATGTATGAATTTTTGTTATTTTATTAATTTTTTAATTTTAATTATATAGTTTTTCTAATATACATGTTTATTTGCAATAAAATAAGTAGAGTATTCAATGCTTCAATTGAGAAGTTAAAAACACTCAAGATGTTTGATTACACAACCCAATTTCAATCAATCAACAAATTTATCAAATACTTGATGATATCTGTCAATTTATTCAATACAGATTTATGAAGACATTTCTGTTGTTGGGGTATATATAACGATACAGTTGAATAACAGATTCTCAGATTGCTGAGATCTGCGGCTTACTTATACATTCTCTTGTCGGGCATCAAAGCAAACAGATGTTTACTCGCTCGATCATATGGTACGTGTTTGCCAAAAATTGAACTTGATAAAATAAATATTATTAGATTTACAAGGGTACTCTTGAAAAACAGATTTTTGAATTGTTGAAATCTGCAGCTGAATTATACGTTTTCCAATCAAATATCCAAACGAGCAGATGTGAGTTTGCTTACTCAGCCGATACATATTCACGAGGAATATTTAGTGAATTTAACGTAATATACTTTTAGTGAAAAATGAATATCACAAATAAGACATCCACTGCAAATATGGGATATTTTTGGATAGTATTTTGCTTGTTTAGTTTATTGGGATCAAATAGTTCTGCATATTCTTCTGAAAATAATGTAAGTGAAAACTAATACTAATAAACCATGATTAGATCATATTTTTCTGTATTGAAATAAATATTTTATAAAATCTACTATATATATTTATTTAGAATATGGAAAGTTATAGTTTTGAAATCGATTATGAAAATGATCAATTTTTACTTGATGGAAAACCATTTCGCTATGTATCAGGAAGTTTTCATTACTTCAGAGCTCCTAGACAAAATTGGAGAAATATTCTCAGAAAAATGAGGGCTGCTGGATTAAATGCAGTTTCAACGTAAGTTCAAATACATATAATGACGATAAAGTTAGAGTATGATGATTAATATATTATGTTTGGATAATTACAATTTTCATCAGTTATGTCGAATGGAGTATGCATGAACCTGAATTTAATAAGTGGGTTTGGGATGGCGACGCAGATATTATTGAGTTTATCAATATAGCGCAAGAAGAAGATTTACTGGTTATTTTACGTCCTGGTCCTTACATTTGTGCCGAAAGAGATTTTGTAAGTCTTTTCACAGCTATTGATTTATTTTTTTTAATGCTGATGAAATAATTAAGTTTTTTACATTTTATAAACTATCGATTACCAACTCAAATATTTACATTTTATATTGACAGGGAGGTTTTCCATATTGGTTATTGAATCGGGTACCTGATATCAGATTGAGAACCAGAGATGAAAGTAATAATAGAATATTTATGGAAGTTTTATGGTTATTAAAACAGTACATATTTCAAATTAATTATTATTTTTGTAGGGTACATTTATTATGCAGAGAGATTCTTGAACCAAATATTGGGACGAACGAAACATTTACTAAGAGGAAATGGCGGCCCAATTATTATGGTTCAGGTAAGCGTCATTCAAGAAAATATTGCATAGAGTCTACTAAATTAACAGAATTCAAACTTTTTCTAACAGGTGGAAAACGAGTATGGAAGTTTTTATTCTTGCGATGATGTGTACAAAGCAAAACTATACGACATTTTTCATCGTCACGTCAAAGATAAAGCAGTTTTATTCACTACCGATGGACCAAATAGTAGAATGATGCAGTGCGGAGGCGTTCCTGAAACTTATGGAACAGTAGATTTTGGAAGTGGTGCGAATGTGAAGCTTCAGTTTAAACTTATGAGAAAACATACGCCCAAGGTATGCATTTAGAACCGCAATGTACTATAAGAAGCATATTTTTCAAATTCATTAATACATGCTGATTATAGGGACCTTATGTAAATTCCGAATACTATCCCGGGTGGCTTACACACTGGGGTGAGAATTTTCAAAGAGTCGGCACTGAAGGAGTAGCTCAAACTTTAGATGAAATGTTAGCATACAATGCCTCTGTAAACTTTTATATGTTTTATGGTGGTACTAACTTTGGATTCACGTCTGGTAATTGTATATTACTCAAAATTTAAATAATATGTTCGCAGATCTGAATATTTAATTTCTGTGTAGGTGCAAACATAAATGAAAATTATTGGCCTCAAATAACCTCTTATGATTATGATGCACCCCTTACTGAAGCTGGAGATCCAACACCGAAGTATTTCCAATTAAGAAAAGTGATATCAAAGGTAGGATTATTTGTAATAATATTTATTATTTAAATTTTTTGTAGAATATATTAAATTAAATTTATATTTTTAAGATCTAATAAAAATGTCGTTTTAATCGATTACAATGTATTACATGATAAAATAATTATCAGCTACTCAAGGTAAAATTATCATTAAGATTTTTACAATGAAAAAAGTCGAATATTGTTTTTCCATGATAAGTCACTGATCATTATTGACTTTTTAGATGTCTGTATTAATATATTGATATGTGATAATAGAAAACATAATATTTCAGTATTTGCCTCTGCCTAATTTGGAAATTCCGACTGTTGCATCAAAGGGAAATTATGGAGCTGTAAATATGAAACCAATGCTTGATCTATTTACTAAAGAAGGTAGAGAAATTTTTGGAACACCTCGATCAACATTTGTCGAACCACCGACATTTGAAAGCTTAGGTTTGCCAAATTGGTTGGTTCTCTACGAAGCTAATTTACCATTATTCGATGACGACGAAAACAACGTCGTACTTGAGGCATTAGTCAAAGACAGAGCTTTGGTTTACATCGATCACGAAAATACAGGTGTCATGAATCGAATGGATAAAAGTTACACTCTTCCGTTAGCATTTACAGGAAGAAAATTGCAAATCCTTGTCGAGAATTTAGGTCGCGTAAACTATGGCGATATTGACACTGAAGATTTCAAGGCATGTACAATTCTCTATGAAATTCGAGTGGAAAAGTTGAAATTGTTCATAATTAGCAAAACATTTTACAGGGTATTTTTGATGTAAGCGCTAATAATATCACAATCACATCGTGGGACGTGACTGGTTTCAAATTAAACTCTGTAACAGACAACTTCTTCAGCCAAAAAAAGACAGCAGGCCAAATAGGAAAACTTTCTCAAGGTCCACAATTTCTCGTAGGATATTTTGACATCAGTGGCAAGCCTCTGGATACTTACTTAAACACTGAAGGATGGGGCAAAGGAGTGATTTACATTAACGGTCACAATCTTGGCAGATACTGGACTATCGGACCGCAAATAACCTTATACGTGCCAGCAGCATTTCTGAAGTCTGGAAAAAATAACCTAGTCGTACTGGAACTCGAGAAAGTTCCTGAAGGTAGAAAAATCGAGTTTCAAATTACGCCTTTCTTAGATTACTCTTCCGACTACCTCGATTTTATATAGTGATATTTTAATCGGTCACGATATGATTGATTATTTGCGGAATATAAATCTGTCTTTATGCTCAGTGATTGATCCACAGTGTGATTAGAGTACAATTTGTGTATGCGTGTGTTGTTGTAGCTGGTGGTACATTTGCAGAGCATTTATTTTTATAATATAATTTCTTAAACTACAATATATCTTCTGTTTTATTTACAAAATAAAAATCTGATTTACCGTAATTTTATATTTTATACGATTTTTTCCTTTATATACATACTTTTTATAAAGGTTCCGGTGAGGGGAAGCGGATATCATGCGCAAGAATGTTAGCTGTAGTAACTAAAACACTAGCTTTTGAAAAACGTGCGTTAAAAACATTTTTAATATCTTTTGTAAATACTCTCACAATACACAACGTAACAATTTTTCTTTGAATAAAATAAAACCTTGACTCACGTTATTAGTTCGAGTTTTGAGGTACTACTTTTTATGATAAAATGAATTGAATTATATGTATACATTGGTAATCTGTCTGTTTGCACACGAAGAACGTTTTAAATGCTACTACAAAAAATTAATAATACTTTTATGTTTATTTCGTTCTCCTTCTCAAAAACTTTCATCAATAGTTCGATTAACATTGATTTCGATCTATTTACATAATTTTTCATTGATTCTTTTTAAATTACAATTAAACCTGTACATAGACGACGAATAGAAAAAGTAAAGATGTTTTACAAAGAGAATACTTTTATTGCAATTGGAAAAATGTATCGACAAAACCTGAAGTTTATGCAATTCAAAATTCATATTACGCTGTTATTCCAAATGTGTGTATCCCCTACACAATATAACGATAAGCTCACATGATAACCTTATTTACAATCAGTGGTTACATATTTTAGTCGTGCCTTTGAAAAGCGCAGCGCATTAAAATGTTGCATAATACAAATTTTCTCTTTCTAATTGCCATCACGCTTGGTTACGCAAGGAACTGTACCGATAATAATGTAAGAACTATTAAACTTTTTATGCAATTAAGCTTCTTTTAAATTGCACTTGCCGCTTGTGTGACATGATTTATTATAATTTTGAATGACAAAAAGCTAAAAATAAACTGCTCAAGTATTTTTAATATAGGTTGCAGTTCGAACTAGTTTTGCGATTGATTATGAAAATGATCAATTTCTTCTCGATGGGACACCGTTTCGATACGTTAGCGGTAGTTTTCACTATTTTCGGACACCTAGGCAGTATTGGAGAGATCGGTTAAGAAAGATGAGGGCAGCTGGTTTAAATGCTATTTCAACGTATAAGTAGAAAACAACTAATTATATATTAATATTAAGTATTGTTTCAAAAAGAATTTATTCGTATTTTATCTCTTCATAGATATGTTGAATGGAGCTTACATCAACCTGAGCTAAATAAATGGGTTTGGGATGGAGATGCAGATCTTGTTGAATTTATTAAGCAAGCACAAGAGGAAGATTTGTTAGTTATATTGAGACTAGGACCCTATATCTGTGCTGAAAGAGACTTTGTGAGTTACATTTTCTTTATATATTAATACAACATCGTAAACGACATGATAAAATTGTTTTCAGGGTGGCTTTCCATATTGGCTACTCAGTCTTGTTTCAGATATAAAACTACGTACCAATGATTCACGTAAGCCGAACATGAACTATGATCGTTGAATGGTATAAATACTGAGAAAACATCAAATTATTGTTCTCGTCTCTAGGATACATGGAATATGCTGAAAAATACCTAAACCAGGTTTTGATTAGAGTGAAACCACTACTGAGAGATAACGGCGGGCCTATTATCATGATTCAGGTGTTATTTCCGTAAACAAGTTAATATATGTATCGTAATTGAAAGAATTTCGCATTCAATCATTTAACTTTCACTAGGTAGAAAATGAATATGGGCATTTTTATGCATGTGATAAACATTACACGAAACGATTAAGAGACATAATTAAAAACCATGTTAAAAGTGACGTGGTTCTATTTACAACCGACGGCATATATCGACCAGAATTACGCTGTGGATCTATTCCAGGAGTTTACGCAACGATCGATTTTGGTACAGCTACTAATGTTACCGAAAATTTCAATCTTATGCGGGAAATTGAACCAAAGGTAAGGTAAAAACTTTTACTTAACAGAGAAACACGAGCGTTATTAAATCAAAATTATTGAAACTATGATTTTCCAGGGGCCGTTAGTAAATTCAGAATTTTACACTGGATGGCCGTCATATTGGAAAGGACCTTTCCAAAGAGTAGAAACCAAAAAAATAATAAAAATGCTGGATGAGATGTTATCAGTCGGAGCGTCAGTTAATTTTTACATGTTTTATGGAGGAACAAACTTTGCTTTCACATCAGGTAAACATTACACGTTAAAAACTATATATGATTAATTTTCTTTAGAATTTGATAAATATTTTTAATATATTTGGATAATAAATTAAATGTGAAAGTATAACACCACGCTACCAGAATTTCTTCATTGTATAAATAACCTTTTTTCGAGTATTTAATTTGTAGGCGCTGACGTATTCGACAAATATGCTCCGGATATAACATCTTATGATTACGACGCTCCCCTCACAGAAGCTGGAGACCTAACTCCCAAATATTTTCAAATCAGGAAGACTATTTCACAGGTATCACGTAAACAAACTTTTTGGCACGTTTGTAAAAAAACCCGTTATTACAATTAATTAGCAATTGTCTACAACAAACGAAATTTTTTGTAACGAATTATCTTTACAAGTTTTTAAAAATAATCTTATTTATAAATTATAGTATCTTCCGCTACCAAACATACCGATACCGCCAGTATCATTAAAAGGCGAGTACGGGATTGTACAAATGAAGTCAGTTTTACGGCTATTTGATAATGAAACACGTAGCTTATTTGGTACTAAAGTGATAAATTCACAGAAAGCTCTTACATTCGAGGCCCTCAACGTTTCAAGTTGGCTTGTTTTATATGAAGCAAATGTTTCCTCATTTGATATTTCAAATAGAAGTGCTATATTACAGGCTAGTCCAAAGGACAGAGCATTCATTTATTTAGACGATGAACTTATTGGTGTTCTTAGTAGAGCGCTCAAGACAAAAAGTCTACTTTTGGGACCAACAAATGCTAAAAGCCTTCAAATATTAGTGGAAAACCAAGGACGTGTCAATTTTGGTAATGTAGACGTTGAAGATTTCAAGGTATTTATTATTTTACATGCTATATACGTATGAAAACAAAGCATTTTAGTACAATTGTCAGTTTTTTTTAGTTTGAAATTCAAATTTATATTTATTTATAGGGAATTTTTAATGTTACACTGAACGATGTCAAAATTTCACCATGGAACATTACTGGCTTCAGATTTAATACCATTTTTGAATCGATTTTAACTGCAATAAAATCACCGACTGCTGAAATGAAAACATTAGTTAGCGGACCGCAAATATTAATTGGGCATTTCGATGTGACCGGAGTTCCTCGAGATACTTACTTAAATACAGCTGAATGGGGAAAAGGAGCAGCCTTTGTTAACGATCGTAATCTCGGTAGATATTGGCCTCTTGTAGGACCTCAAATGACTTTGTACGTTCCTGCTGCATATTTAAAGGAAGGAAAGAACACCTTAGTTTTGGTTGAGTTGGAATATGTTCCTGCAAATCGCAAAATCAATTTTCAAACGATACCAGTGTTGGATTATTATAGTAATAGAACTAGCAATAGATGAAACCGTATTTACTTGCAAATTTTTTTCATACTTTAGAGAGATATTCCAAAATATAGTTCAACAAAGCATCATATTCACCTTATTACAAATTGATATACTGTATATATCGCCTATGTATAGCATAACGATAAGTCCATTCGATCATTATATTAACCTTCACGATGGGTGGTATTTACAACAGTAACGCTTTTGAATTGATCGGCGATGATAATGCTGTTCTACAAGGAGTAGTACATCGACGGAAGACCTCCCGCAGACGATATCGCCGTTTTGTAAAGAGCTCTGAGAATCAATGGTGATAATATCCTATACCGGCCAGGTGACAAATGGGAAATAGACTCTACGGGAAGCATCGATTATGTACATATATATCACGCCCCTGCAAGCACCCAATGGGTGCGTTGCAGTTTTTTCCAAATCGACACTTATTCCGTGCGAAGTAACGATTACTGCTGATAATATCACTGTATGTTAGGTATACGTAATGCAATTTTAGTTAAATCAGAAAAATTTAGTTCTTGGCACCTTCGGCGTCCCTTTGATGTTGTGCACAATAAGAAAATTCAAATTAACAAAATGACCAATTGCCAACATTTGCAATCACGCTGATTGAGATGATCTAAATTTAGCATTTGTTTAAACACATCGTGATGTTCGTACATTAAAGAATATCCGCTTCGTAAAACTCGTGACGGTATCGTAAGGGGTAGTATGATATTCTGAACTTTATAAGTCTATAGTGAATGAATGACTTGTATTTTTTAGCAAGGCTAAACAAAGAGCTACTGGTACCGTCTGATACGCAAGAGAAAACTCGTTTTAACAAAAATTGTTCTCATTTAAATCATTACTTTTGGAATGAAAAATTGCAAAGTTGTACGAGCCAGTGGCTGAAATAAAAAGAACGGTTGCACAATTTTGCATTAACTAATATATTCCAAAGCTTTTTTTGGTTTTTAAACTTTTTTCTTCAATATTATGATAATAAAACATTAAAAATTTTGTTCTGCTCAATTAATCTACAATTTGTTGGTTCGATGTTCAAATATCTTAATATATTGAGGAAAAGGCTCAAGCAGCCACATTGATAGACGGCTGCGCACAAAAGTGGTGCTGACCGGGGTAGAAAAAGCTCCGCCTCTGTAGCAGAGAACCACCCTCTTGACATGCGCCGAGCAAGACGCTCTTTGCAAGTGCACACTATCACTAGCGGCCGTTTAATCGTATATTTCGTAGTTTGTGCGTGGATGCTTTCGAGCTCTGTAGGTTTTCATTGCAAATTTAAATTGTAACTTTAATTTTCTCAGTGCTTATCATGTCTGGTAAGTTAATATGTTGATTTGCACCGCTACTATGCACCCTATTTGAAAGAAAGGATTAAGCTATATTCACAGAAGCGTAATTATTTTCAATTTTGAAATTTGAAATTGCATTCAATAACTGAGCTTTTAATTATAAATTTTTTATACATTCATTAATCTAATTCCTCTCAGATTTGCAATTAAATAATCGTAGATTTTTTTAATGTTTGCTATTAAAAATAGAGCAAGAAACTCCATTGGACTTGAGCTGTCGAAAAGCAGGCGAGAAAAATATTGACAAAATTACGAAATATCAAAAGCATTTGCCATGTCCAATATGCGGGAAAAATTTCGATCGTCCATCTCTGCTTAAAAGACATTTGAGAACGCATACAGGTATAGAAAATATTCGTGACAATAAACTTAAAGTTAAACTAAAAACTCGTAACACTATTTGTATTAAAAAAATGTAAAGGTGAAAAGCCACACAGTTGCGCAATCTGCGGTAAAAAGTTCAGCACGAGCAGCTCATTAAACACTCACGCGAGAATTCACACAGGCGAGAGACCGCACGAATGTCCCGTGTGCAGCAAAAGATTTACTGCTTCTTCAAATTTATATTATCATCGAATGACGCATTTCAAGGTAAACTCCAGAAAATTTCCATGGCTTTGCTCACCTTTGTCTTTAAATCTAAATGGATATGTACACATTGTCGATAGGTAAAACCACACAAATGCTCGGAATGCGAGCGTTCTTTCCCAACACCTGGCGATTTGAAAGCACACAGCTATTCGCACAACGATAATTGGCCTTTAAGATGCCCTGTTTGCTATAGAGGCTTTTGTAAACTAAGAATTCTGCATCAACATTTAGCAATCCATAATGGTGAGAACTTATGCCTCTACAAATAATTATTTGTCAGTGAGAATATATTATATCATGTTCTTTTCAGGATCTTATTCAAAACAGTGCCAATTATGTAATAAAAGATTTAATTTACCTAAAAATTTAAAGAATCACAAATGCGAAAATATCAAATTAATTCTATCAAATGTGAACACCAATTCTCTGGTTTGCTCACACTTATTCAATACAGTATTGTCATTTCCTTGGATATCGTAAATTATATAAAATTAACCACGCATCGATCTGAATAATCACGCATTTCAAAACTATAACGTTTTACGATACATAAAAGTATGACTCTAGCTTACAATATTTATTGGTATATTATTGTGCATGTATTTCCAACTTCCTTCCAACTAAAACGTATGATAGATTAGAAATTAATTACTGTTTACAATAATGCTCATTGCACAGTTTAGTTTACCGCTGAATGAATAATATAAACGCTAATTTTTTTAATTTATACACCATATTAAAAGAAAATATACTCAAAAATCAAAATTTATTTCTTTGCCCTCTTCGATCGCCTTCCGAACCTCGTTAAACAGTTTTCTTAAAATTGATTTTACACACCTGCAACCTCGTATTTAAAATAACTAAATTTTACACTTATAAATGGTGCAGGTGATATTCACGCTTGATTACTTGCTAAGCTAGTCATACCTCTGGAAAATTTTACATAATACTTTAGAAACAGTCTGTAGACATTAATTTGTTACTGTAATACTAAAAAGACATTAAAAATTGTCAAGTCAATTTTTAAATACCTTATTTATTTTGAAAGCGACTTTATTTTTGTAGAAGGCTAACTTTGCAAATATTGCACCGTATTCGAGAGTATGATGCATCATAAAAGGATATTACAAAAATTAATATATAGAAGTTTATCATAACGAGGCTTTGCAAGCCAAGAATATATGTAACAAATAACAAACTAAAATTAATTCTAGTACGATTTATCTAGAAATTTGAAATTTTTTTAAGGATAACGATCACAGGTCTATCAAAATAGTCATTTATTCAAAAACTATATTCGATAATCGTATAATTACGACTAAGGCTTACAATATTAGTAGCATAAAAAAACTTTGTTTTATTAATCAAAATTATGAAACGTAACTGCATATAATCATTTTTTAAACTATCATTTTCAATTTAACGTAATTTTTAAATAAACTTAAGAAATATACTTAATCTTTGATATCAAAAAGTTAAACCGTGACATACATAAGTAAGCTTATACATTAATCACAGAACCAGGCTCGATGCCCGAATCGTTGATAGTATCAACCCCGTACTTTTGGGCTAGCTCAGTTTTAGTTTCAGTCTTCTCTTCCAAAAGAGACTCTTCTAACATACTATTGGCAGCTCTATCAGTTAACTTGGACGAGGACACTGAATCCTCCAAGGCACTACTTGTAGTCGAAATATTGCTTTTTTTCTCAGTGGCTAAATCCTCTGCTGATAGATAAACATCGTGACTACTACGCTCGAGTCCTGATTGTTCGACATGAGAAGTATCTTCGGATTCACAGCCACTCTGCTTGTCCTGCTCTTTAATTTTGGCCTCCTCGCTCTTCTCGTGTGCTTCGTAGAAAGCAGCAGTTTGAGCGGCGTGTGTCTGCGAAGATGTATCACACTTCAAAACTTCTCGCAAAGCCATCGTGGCGTAGCAAGATGATTGCAAAGACATTTGGACAATCAAAGCTTTGAATGCACCGTCTGTAAAATGAAAATATATTATTAGTTCTATTTTGCATCAAACTGTAAATTATATCTTTGGCTATTCGATATACCTGGTTCATTTTTGGGAGGCTCAACCTCCCTTAATTCATCAATATCAGAAAGAATCAAATCTTGATTCTTGTTATTATAACGTAAAATTTTCCAAGTCAAATGTTGTGGTACTTGGAAAATCTTTCTATAAGATCCACTAAGAGTGAATTTTCTAAAAAATAAAATGAGTTGACTACAAATTACACAGTCAATGATTAGAATAAAGAGATATGATAAGTTTCATTATCAATACATACTTGTTTTTCTGTTTGAGTTCTGGAGTAAGTCCATCTTTTTCAAGAATTTCTTCAAACCAAGATTTGGCGTATGTAGGATAAGTCACCTTCCATCCTGGTTGAGGCATGATGATATCAGCCATGCTATAATTAGGCAAATCACCTTTTGTCAAAATTTTGACTTTTGGTAATGGCTTTTCATAGTCGCTCTTGTCACTAGCCTTATCATCTTCAGTTTTGTCTTCTTTCTTGTCCTGTGGCTGATTTTCGGCACTTGCTTGTTTTTCAAATTCATCCTTGGACTTAGACTCATCATCAGTTTTGTGGTCATCAATAATAGGGTCAGATGGTTCGTCAGAGTGAGATTTACCATCATCATCAATGTCAAGATGACTATCATCATGTAAAATTTCTGTATCATCTTTTGAATCGGGATTTTCATAAACTAAGTCTCCAACAATTGGTTTAAGTCCAAATTCCTTAATGCGCCTGGAAACCATGAGATTCCAAATATAACTTTGATATGCATGGACATACATCAATGTGGTATTCCTTGGAACCATGTCCAATGCTCCTAGGAGATTTTTCGGCCCGCAAATATTAAGTCCCCATAAGAGCTTAGCTTCAATTTTATCATGGCGACCACCAATCTTTTGATATGCTAAACGAGAATCTTTAGTATTTTTATAGATTTCTCGTGCTTCAGATAAGTATGTGTCTTGTTCTCCTTCCCTAGGTTTCAAAATCAAGTCAACAGCTTCAGCCCAGTCACCTAAAAAAGTAATCATAATGTTGATTTTTTAATATTTTTAACACTATTTTATATTTATTGTAAATATTAGAAGATAACTTGTTAATTTGAAATCTAAAATTTCAAATGTAAAAAATTAATTTTATTTACCTTTCAAGAGGGCTTTACCAATCTCATACGTAGGTATAGCAGCAATGGTACCAAATCTTTGTAAACCATAATAATTAATAAATCCATTGTCACGAAGTGAAACCATTGCTTTCTCAATTAAATCATCTGGTGCACTAATGTTTCTAAGTGCAATGGTAAATCTATTACCATATAGTTTGCCTAACTTGAGAGGATCTTTTTCAAATTTGAAGTTACCTACAAAAGCTCCTCTGACAACTCTTGCAGCACTGAAAATTTTCTTAGGATTCATTTTCCTTACACAAATCCATTGTGTAGTCTTTGCTCTACGATCTTTGGTACCAGAATAGGTGAAAAGATTTGATTTTATTCGTAAAACTCTTGCTATCTGGTTCAGGGCATCCATTGTATCCATATTGACCTTGTGTAAAATAAAATGACAGAAATTGCCACCTCTACTTGACCAATCAGTTCTATGATCTTGAGTTCGAACACCTATGAACAATAAAAATGATTTTTAATTTCTATTACAATATTATAAATTATAAATAAACTTTAGTCTTTAACTATTTCTTACCATATCTTTTAGCATACTGTTTAGAAAATACAATAACTTTTTTGTTACCAACTTCCTTTGTTTCACTCACAACTGTAGTCAATTTTTTTACAATCTGATGAATACACTTTCGTTGTTCCTTATCCATGTCAGTAACATCTATCTCAATGCCAGAGTTGTCTTCTGTAATAGTCTGTAATTTTTCCCATACATCATCAGTTATTTGCTTCCTCAATTCTTCAAGATCCAATAGGTCTTCTGGATCTGGTGGGATATCCTGATTAGTCAATTTAGCAACTTCTCCATTTGTACTGATTTCATGAACTACAAAATCAGTAAATCTTTCTTTGATAGTTCCAGTAAAACCTTCTGCATTTCCAACATATTCTGTGATACCAAGATCAACTTCTTTAAGCCTTTCACCAACCTCAAATCTAGGTCTCTTACTATAATGATGCCGTCTGTCATTTCCTCCACCTTGGTACCCTGCAATTTTGAGCGATTGATAATTAGAATTTTGTTAATTTTTATACAAACATAGTTACAAACTACTACTTTCATTGTCAATTTTTTTTTGTAATATTTATCTTTAATTTTCAAAAAATATTTAAATTAAAAAATGAGGACTTAATTATTCGTTTTAGTAAATCTTTTTGAATGTGAATTTACGAAAATTAGACTTAGAATATTATCTCTGAAATTAAAACTGACATAATTGCTCGTAATTTATTGTTAAATTAAACGTTGACTTTCAGTTATTTGTCAAATACATTCTAGATTTATAGATTTACACATATGTTAATAAAAAAATAATAAGTATATTTTTTTTTAATTTTGTGTTAAATTGCAGCAATATTTATAACAAGACTAATAAATAATTTGAAATAAAAATAAAATATTTACAATCAAAACGTTATGTTCATTGTTTTTCCATAGAAATAATAGCAGTCAATTCTCTATCAATTTGATAAATACAGAACTGGCATTATAACAAAGCATATGTAGGATTGAATTCCGTAAACACGAATGTAAACAATGCTGTAGTCTGTTGTGTTATCAAGGTTAATATTTTGAAGAACCAGAAATCTCATTCATTTCAAATAATAATTTTGACTGGCACATATCGCTTGCAAATTCAAAATTAATCAAGAAAATCTTCGTAAAATTAATCAAAACGTTAATATTTAACTTGCAGATTAGTTCAATTTTCACGATAGAAAATGGACTCAAGCCCATGTACTTTGATAATTATAACTCTTTATATGAAAATATTTCAAGTTAATTTTAGTAATTAACACATAATTCATAAGTCATTTAGAGCAAAAGTAATTTTTTCTCATTAATAATTTCTTAAAAATTAAACATTATATCATTAAATAAATGCTTTAAAAAAATATGAAAACACTCACGAGTTTTTCCATAATAATTATTGTACGAACGATTTCTGTTTCCATGTTGTTGGCTGAACTTTCTTGGCTTTTTTTTGTCATGTTTACCACTGGTGTCCCCGGCAGCATTGCCGGCGAAATTGTCTTTGTCTCTGTTTGTCATTGCAACGTTCTCTATCACACAGAGCTAGATGAAAACATTGTAAGAAAATGAATTATTATGACGATAAAGCTAGTAATTTTCTAACAATTACTCAATTTTCATTCATATTTTTATTAAACAAATAACTCACGTTGCATTGAAAAGTTTTCCTGAGAAAACAAGATATTTAAAATGACAACCATACAATGAATAAAAGCAAAATAGCAATAATGAAAACCTAATGAGAAGTGAGTTAGAATAAGAATGCAAAAATAATTTTATTGTTTAGAACTTACTGTATGCAAGAAATTTGACGATGTTATTCTTCTGACAAACGATGCATACGGTCTGGCGTTTCACGCTGGAATGAACGTCGCACGGTCGCACTCGCTAGTCATTGCCGGCGACACTGTTTCACGACTCGAAAACATTAGATGTGTCCTTTCGTGTTCTTTTTCTAAGAATTGTGCTGTCCACTCTTATATACGAAATTCCTTAAAAACAAATATTTGACGTGATGCTTTGTTCGCCGAATAACTAATATCCGGTATATGAGTGATTTGTATTTGTTAATTAATTTATGCAGTCCAATATTTAGTTGACATTTCGTTTATAACTTATTATATTTGACATTTTTTGTGGTGTGTGTATTACTATGTGTGTGTGTGTATATGTGTTTAACACTGAATCAGTTAGTGACAGTCGGTAATGAAGAATGGCTTTTTATTGATCTTATGTATATAGTATATGTGCATCTGGATTCTGTGATGTTTATGTATGTGTCATCAGTTCTGAGAATGCATCTGTAATGATATATACAAAATATAATTTAAAATAACAAATTATATTATTAAAATTTTTTTATTACTGTGAAAATATTGAACTTTTTGAATATTTATAGATTTATAGAACTTGTTTCTGTATCACTATAAGTGTTAGCCATGTAAAAGTTTTTAGACAGAAATTGAAATAATGCAAACCTAACCCAATTAATATTCTTCTAGTGTTTAAATATTTTACGTAAATTTATAATTGCTAAAGTTGATAAAATGATTGAAGAAGAAGACAATAATCTAAACAAATCTACCATGAATCTTTCAGATAGTAGCGAAAACATTCCATCAAATGATAATGAAATTGAACAGAAGACAAATGTCACAGATTTTACTGAAAAGTCTGATAAAGAATCTGTTTTAATAACTTCAACTAATCAACCACAAGGGTTTTACAAAGAAAAACCTAAAGTAACTTATACGAAAGATAATGATGATATTGAAGAATTTGACACAGATGAAGAAGAGGAAGAAAAAGATATTTCTAAAAATTCAAATTCAGTTAAGCAAAACTATTCAGATAATATCACTTACGAAGGTGATAAATGTATATACACTGAGCCAGGAACTAATAGGAAATTGGTTTGGAATGCTGAAGAAAATAAGTGGAGTATGTAATGTTTCATATTTTTATAAAACTTGTATATTTATTGTTATATTTATCATGTTCTTATTTATAACTTTTTACTAGATGTAGATGAATTATCAATTAAAAATGAAAATGTAACTGATGTCATGAAAAATTACAAATACGATGGCAAAAATTATGTATATACAGATCAAACAACAAATGTAACATACAAATTTCTAAATGAAACAAATGAGTGGGTGATGAAAGATGATGAAGATCTTAAAAAAGATGACAGTAATGACAACAAAAGTGAAAGACAAAATCCCCCAAATCAATCACTAGGTCAGGGTATATATGGGTTTGAAAATGATACACACACATACACAGATCCAAATGATGGTTCTACATATTTTTATGATCGTGAAAAAAGTGCTTGGTTTCCAAAGGTATATAATTTTATTACTTAATCCATAATCTTTAATTGATTATTAGATTAACTAATATATTTTCAGAAAATAAAATACTACATTGTTTTTGTTAAATAATAGTAGTTCTTCAAATTAATGAATGTTCTTTATATTAAAATCATTTAAGCTTTTAAATACATTTATTGTGAAGCCTCCTTGCTTATATATTATTTTTAATTAATTTATTGATGAATAATTATACATACTATATGAAGAAAATTTTTTTAGGTGGATGATGATTTTATGGCTAGGTACCAGATGAATTATGGTTTTACAAATTTTGGTAGCACAGATTCTAGTGCAGACACAAAGAGTCAGTCCAATCCACCAGAACAACCGAAAGTAAATAAGTTAACTAAAGAAGAAAAGAAGGCTGAAAATAAGAGAAAAGCTGCAGAACCTCCAACATGGTTTGAAATTGATGAGGCTCACAATACCACTATTTACATATCTAATTTACCTCTAGATATCACAATAGAAGAGCTTAAAGAATTAGTTTGCAAATGTGGATTACTTGCTCGAGATGAAAAAGGAAAAGATAAACTTAAATTGTATACAGATTCAAATGGAGAATTGAAAGGTGATGCTCGTTGCACATACATAAAGGTGAGTCTATATTAATTTCTTTTTTAAATTACATTTTTTTAATTGATAAAGTCACAAATATTAAAATTTTTTTTTAAATAATGCTAATAATAATACAATTATTTAAAAATAGAATTTAAAAATAATTATTGAAATTTTAATTTACATGGGTACATTAAAATTGAATAAAATTGGAAACCAATATGTTTTTAATCAAACACTCTTTCATAAAAATATGAAATACAGGATTTATTATCAATACAAGTAAATAACTATTTTATGATACTATTAAATTATACATATACTCGATTATTTACAAGCAGTTTAGTATAAAAATGTGTGGATAGTTAACAAATTAAGTGCTATATTATGTTATTCACAAATATCTTTTTTTTTATTTTATAGTTAGTAATCACACTAACATTTCAATTTATTCTATTTAATATAATCAGATTACACCATTCCTTACGAGATAATTTATTAAAATAACAATTTAAACTTCACTTGTACTGAAGAAATTCAGATTTTACGCGATAAAAACTTGAGAAATCGTGATTGATGACATTCTACTAAATACACTTTCTTCTGGCAGTAAACATTAAATTTGTTATTGCTAAAAATTATAAGACTGTTGGTACAATGTTAATTGATTAAGGTTTTAAATTTGCGCAAATCAATAGTTATATAATAACCGGTTAAAGAAGTTGGAGGTCACTCGTAAAAGATAACAACTATTATTTAATATATTGAAAAAGGTCATTGTAAAATTTATAATGCACATAGATTAACATTCTTATATATTGATTGATATCTAGTAAGAAATGTCAAAGCTTATTTTATTAGATTGTTAAATTATTTTTTACTACAATTAAAAGTACAGTGTAGCTGTGTTTTTCAGCCCTTTATATTATAAATTCCTAAAAATAATCCACACAATTGCCAATGACATTTTTCACTGGGTACTTTCGAATAAAAAGAACGCGGATATGTCAATTCATTCAGCTCGTCAATAATTAAATACTGGAGAAGTAAATAGTTGCTATTACGGTTAATGGAAATGCCATATTGCGCGTCTCATAATCTATAAACCACACACAGACACACACACACACACACAGACACGCACATTTCTTGTCTCGAGACGCCGTTTTTTTATCACTCGAAGAAAACGAGACTCCTCACGTGGCTTTTAAGAGCGCTTAGTTTCTGTCTATCGACTAGTAGTAAACCCCTCTACCTTTTTTACGATTGGAGTCTCATCTGAGCTACGCTCGCTATGATAGTTTTACACTTACATAAAAACACAAAACGGTACTGGTGATATACTGTCAAATGTTGAAATATAATTATGCTGTCGACGTTAAAATCATTTTTTTTCATCGCAGCTGACAATACGTACTTACGTAATAGTAAATAATAAATATCATCAGTTGGAAACAAATGTACTGAACAGGCATTGGTCTACGAAAACTTCCGAGCGAAATAAATAATTCAAATTCAATAGATTTGTTTCCGCCATATATGATAGGGCATATAAATACTTATGTAGAAAATACACTGGTACTCTTTTTTCTTGTTAAAATTCTCAACTTTCGCAAAACGCACATTTTTACCAGTCTTCTCTCTTCATTCACATCTTGCTCATGTTTTGATGAGAATTTCTTCATTTGTGAATACGCTTCTAGCATCGTAGGATGGTGGAAATAGAACTTTTTCTTCTGCTAAAGCTAATGGACCGATTGGTGATTTATTAGCCGAGAAAGTGCCGAATTCACCTGCTTTCGGTATTATCTGTGCGATTCGTGGTTCGAGTATTGCCATCTTTTTCTTGTAGAATCGTGGCTGCTTCTTCGAGTGTTTGCCTTTCTTGTGCAAACGTGTTCGTCGCAAACTGCGAAAAAAAAAACAATAAATGATTCATCGGCTTCCATCGTTATGGGAACTGGGTTATCAGCTAACGTCTTCCTCGATCATGACAACTTGTTGTCGGCTCAAATTATACGTTATCTCTAACAATGGAAAAATGCCGCTTTGACTACCGCTACAAGGAGGGATATCGGAAACCCGTATAATAAACAAATTTAACAGCAGCACATCCGAGAATGCGTCCACACGGTAGCCTATAAAAGTCGTCAAGCGTAATGTTTTTTACCCTTTTGGCGGGCGCGAGCCAAACTTGATGCCGTGGGCCCAGAACTGGTTGTCTTCGTGTTGTCGATGCCAATTCTTTTTCCGTATAGATTTGAGCGACCCATTCTTGTCTCGACGTTGTTGATGCTGCTGCCTCAATTCACTTCTTGCACGTTTATTCTCGTTCTTAGCGTTAGATCTTATTCGTTGATTCTGCGGTGCATGCGGGTCGCTTATGTTTTTACGACGCCTACCTGCAAAAAATAAAAATTTTTCATAATTCTCTTATAATCGACAGCAACGCGTTGGAAGTTGAACCTTTAAGTCACAGATTATACAAAAGTCGAGTTTAATTGCTCAGTATCACAGACTAGTTGTGGGATTTCAGTATCAAATAACAAGAAGATCTAGCGAACAGCGCCTGCCCCTAATAAAATTACGCCCGACTTAGCATCATCTTCAGTCAGACATGCGTACACAAACACGCACACGCGCGGGCGCGCACGTACTGGCAAGAATACGTGAAGCAAAGTCTCAGAAAGAGAGGTCAAGGAACAAATTGAAAAAAAATTAGAGTATAGTATGGTGTGGCTTGTGCTGATCCTTACTTTTACCTAGAATGCGTCCAGCCGGTGCCTCGCATATAAAATACTTTTGCTGGAAACACCCGCGTGCGCTCCATTTGTACTTAATCGCCGGATCAACGACCATGCACTCATGCTCTCGGGCCATAGTTGCTGCAGTCCAATTGCCGAAGTTCCGAAATAGCACCTTCTCGCCGGTCACGCCCCATTCCCAAATCATCTGACGCCAGTTGTAGATGCCACCGATCCATCTCTCCAGTCTGCCTGCGGAAAGGGGGCTTTTAGTTATCGCGTCGTTTGCTTGTTAGCCCCTTCTCCAAACGCGCGTAAGTTAAAGTTGGCTTGCGCCGTTTGATTCGCGCGAGCTTTCGGAGCTTTCGCGTGCATGCTGAATCAACATTGAGGCGCGACTGTGGCCTCGATCGCTCTCCCAAACAGCCCCGCGGCTATTGTTCGGAGGCAGTTCCGAAGTTGCCTTTGGTTTCCACGAGCAACGACACTTACTGAACTGGTCACCTAGAAGGTACTTCCTCAGCATCTTATCTTTGCCGTTGCGATTGAGCACGGCAAGCGTGGCGTTTCTCGCGGTGCACTGAAAGTGAGCGTCCCTCCATGAAGCTGTGCCAGCGCTCAGATAGTAACAATAACGTCTTAATCGGAAGAATCCCGCGGGGCATTCGAATCGTTGAATGCCTTCTTGCTCGGGATAATTGCCGGTCTCCTCGTGCACCTGTTGCAAATTCAGCTGTGAGTCATCCGCGTCGAAACTCCACTCGGCACCTGCAATCCGACCATTTTTAGCTGTTGAGCTGAACGCTCACGAGGAAACAACGTCCGGCGGATTTCGGCGCGTTTAACGTGGGCTTCGGCACTGTTGCGCAAATAAGTGCATGCAAACTGGCTGCACGATCTTGCAGCCGCTAGAGTGTGCGTAGCCGCCTTATCTGGCATTCTTCATCGCGGGACTGGCAACGTTATTTGCAGCTTTGAAATAGTCATTGCGTAACGCGAGTCTCTTTAATGTTGCATCTAAATTTCTCCTGATGCGAGCCCAAGTTTGCCGAGTTTTGTTCTTTCGACGATTCTCGCGGGTAAAAAGCATAAAGCCGTGGCGTGGCGCTGAAGTATCAATCGATAGTGATCCTCGCTCATAATAACCTTGCGCGTGCCCAAGCGATAAACGATCGGTAGTTGCGCGGTCTGCACCAATTATATTTACCTACGCCCCTTTCAACTGATATATGCAAAGATGCATTGTGTACGATACTACTTGTTTTTCTAATCGCGCTAATATTTTAACTATCCTTCGAATTGCGATTGAAAACAATATGTAAGATATATTTGAGTGGTTCATTAGAACTATCGTGTACAGTGTTTGCGTTTAAGACTTATTGAGTGCGCGGGGCAAGCTCATTCCTTCGACGATACTTTCCATCATTTAAAAAAGAGTTTGCTCGTAATTGTCGGACGAAATTAGTTTTGTTCAAGATCCCTTCTAAATTTTATTTCGAGATAAGTGGCGAACGGGATTTTTATGAATGGAATGCGTATCGCGCGACGTGATTGAACAAGCGCGTAATCAGCCGTTATCGCATTTAGATACCGAACAATAATGCAACATTGAAAATATTGGCCAATTCGGGCTCACGTTGGTCGTCGACCTCACCGTTCGAATTTCCACCTGAACACGGCGAGGAAAAAAGAAAAGGAAGACACCGACTTGGCGTCGCTTCGAAAAAGTGTTAATGACTAGCCGCGTACGCCGGGTACACCTTTGCCGGAATATGGCTGCACATAACATCGAACGTTATATGGCAAAAGTAAACTCGCGCGTGACCTAAAATACCGAGAGCGAGACAAGAGAAGTGTCGATCGGCTCGGGCAATATCGCGCTTCGTACAGATGGCATTTACTCATTTTCTTTTAATGCTCTTTACATTCGCAAAGCGCTATTTTCGAATGACTTCTGCACCTCTCGGCGATCATGGCCCTGTTTCCGTTTTAACATGAGCCAAGTAAGATAAATGTGAGCCTACAGTGGGTTGGGTTCGAGAAGCTTTAGTTTTTTTTTCTTTTATCCTCGACACCCGACGAGTAGATGCGTCAAATTTTTCAGAGAAAGTGAAAATAACACTATGATCGCATCGCGTGAACATCGTGCGAACAGTCTGCGAGCGCCCAGAGACCGCTTTTATGATTTTAATAAACGCTGACATAAGCTCGTCGGCCGAGGGACCCGTAGTCGATATTGTTGACATTTCGTTTTGTCGAACTGCTATTTTTAGAGAATCGCGCAAGAAAGGTAAAACCGGTGCAAGATAACAAGCCTATTATTATTATTATTTTTTTTAAGCGTAATTCACACTCAATTATCGCGATCGAGCGTCGTATAACTTTCCTCGTAGTCTAATTAATTTAGTTCGATATCTACAATCAGCTGATAGTTAAAAGAAAAACATGCGCAACCTGGTCGTACATTATCTCGATAAAGCGTAGTATGTGCTGTGTCGCCGTGTACAAATCCAACAGGAAGAACCTTTTTGCTCTGGACTTGCAAGCGCAGCAGCAGCCAAACATACTTGACGCAAGCGTTGATACTATTTTCGTGCATAGCGCCTGATTAATTCGACACTTGGATATATCGGTAGCGACACTATTCTTTTCTTTCTTCTTTTTTTAGAAATTTTACGGACTTGTTTCCTTTTCTCATACACGAGTATAAAGAAGTATTTTAGACTCGCCTTCGATCCTCGTAAAATGGAATGTGTATAAACACGCGCTTTGGATCATTTGGCTGTTTAACGAGTTGATATTGTCAAAATAAGTTATGCATAAATCTTTGGATGCAGATGAGAAATGTGCAAATATTGTAGTTAGTAAGAGAATACAATTGATCAGAGTTGACAGATTGTGAGTCGACAATCTGATTTTATTGAGCGACATTAACGGTGGTAACTATGAACTGCGACGATTCACGTGAAAATAGACCGATGGTCTATGCGGGTGCATCATGCAGGGGTCGAGTACCCCGTGAAATCGCATCTGTTCAAAGCGGCACGACTCTCTCTCTCTCTCTCTCTCTCTCTCTCTCTCTCTCTCTCTCTCTCTCTCTCTCTCTCTCTCTCTCTCTCTCTCTCTTTATTTTTCCTGCAAATTATATATACGAATGAGAAGTATGCGCGCAATGCTTTACAGTATCACGTGGAAGCTTTTTTCATCATCTAACTGTTTATTCGCGTAACACGCGGGATGGTGATCCATCAAGTCACATGTATGAAATTACAGCTTGATGAGTAAATATGACATATATATATATATATATATATATATATATATATACACACACACAGGGTTGCTTTAACGAAAAAACGTGAATGTATAGTTTCTGTAAATAGACCTATTTTCCGGCGGAAGACAAACGAAAATTTTATTGGATTCGAGTCAACAACGATGTATCTTCCAAAATCAACTTTCATTTTTAAGTTCAGAAAGCCCCGCGTTTATCAATCAGCCCTAAATCGAAAAGTCGTCATCTAAAAAGATCACGTTCAATTCGATATTCGTTAACTATCGCGCACATTCGGTAAAAGTCCAGCAGCAGGGGGAGGGGGGAGGAGCAAACAATCGATTCGCTCCCTTTTGACCACAATCCGATTAAACGGCGGTACACATAAGAGCACGCATGACATTGACCTCGGCGTGCCAAAAATCTTTCTGCGCGCCGGGCGGTATGCATACAAAACGTTTCTCTCATACCCCAGCCGCCGCCGTCGGCTGGTAAATATACGCGTGCGATACACGCACCGCACAATGCTGATGCATGGGTGGAAAAACGTAGGCGCGTATGCATTGTGTTTGGAAAAACCTTAAAATAGCATATTCAGGGACTTCCGTCGAGAGAGAGAGAGAGAGAGAGAGAGAGAGAGAGAGAGAGAGAGAGAGAGAGAGAGACTCGCTGACGACTCTTTTAGTTTTAGCAAGCGTGGTTTTGTTTTTCAAGAAAGTTTTGGTAAAAATTAATTCAAATTAAGCTTAAATATGCATACATAAAGCTTCCCTGCTAGTTCCATTTGTTTGTCTTTCGCGTTTAGACTTTATCGCACTTATTTTTGTCCATTAATTTTTGTTTCATTCTTTTTTTTTCCGCCATGTGCGTGCTTTTTCCTTGCGTGTTTAAATCAAATGATAAAAGTTCAATAAAATACTTCCGAAGTTTGATTATATTGTCAAGATTAGAAAGATTACAATCTATTTAGTAATCAAGCGATTTTTCCGCGTCAGATTAGCAGAAATTATTTTATGAGAAAAAATAATATCAATTATAATGTACGATGAATTCATTTAAGTTTTATTGTGATGGCACTAAATATTATTCCGCTGCAGTTCCAAGAAAAGTAAGTGACTTAAAATAGCAAATTGTTAGAATGTCACGAACGAATTATTGTTCGAAAAGTATGTCAATCTATTATTCAACATTTTCAAATCCCATTTTGTTTTGTTTTTAACATATTCTACTACTTGTCTTTCGTTTGTTCCGTTCAAATACTTCAAATACTAAATTCTTTGGATTCCCAGCTACAGTTCACAATAAATCAATCATCAAATTCTCTAATCTCTAAAATTATTCTAACAAAAGACAACATTCAAACTTAATTTTTCATTAAATATAAAATCGGTGGAATTGATTTCAAGTATTATTCCCTTGAAATATTAAAAATCCATATATAAAATGTACCGTAGACAAATTATTCGACACTTGATTAATTAGCAGAATTTAAAGGAATTTTCATTGATTCTTGGCTTCTGGATAAATTCGCCACGGAAGCTTTTATGAAAGCTTTAAATTAATTACCTGTGGCGACTTGGCGTAAGAGCAACGACGATAACAGCACAACCCAATACGTTAGCATGATGAATGAGCGAATCCACACGTTAATTCACCACAATGAATAAACCGTCACGCGGCCTCTTGCATTTCGGCGACAAAACCAAAAAATTTCACACTGGCTTGACTAAACTAAACTTTAGTTTCACTGGTCGAGTATTAATAAAGATGAATCGTAATGTATCGCCGAATATCAATGCGTCGTCTCGTCCTTCTTTGCCGGTGGTTCGCGCTGAACTAAAGCAGAGGTCCGGCTGCCGCCGCTGCTGTGTGCTGCTTCGTTTTCCGATGCCGTGGCAGGCGCTTCGCGCTCCCGATGACGTCGGCGCTTACAGTATCCATACATGTATACGCGACAATTGCCTTTTGCCGACGAATTCTGAATTATGAAAAATGTTGAAGGAATACGCAGCGTGACAAGTATGAGTGAATAATGCGTGCAACGATAGCTTTTTCTTTTTGTTTTTTTTTTTGTCGTCGAGAATTCCGATTTCAGCGATGACGACTGATGTTATGCTGGGCGTGAGCTGTACAACTCATACCACTAACTATTGTTTTTATGCTGAAATGATTTTACCTATGATGAGATCTTTAGAAAGAGTCAGTAAATTGTTTTGTTTGCATTGACGGACGTTAGTCTGTATTTTTTATTTTGTGTTTCGAAAAAAATATATATTTCAACAAATTACATTAATTCCAAATCATAAGTAGATTCAAATTATAAATACTGAAGAAGACCTCCTCATTTCTAACTTGACTTATCTCTTGTTTCTAATGCAAAAAAAATTGTGCACAACTGTCCGAAGGTTGTGATACAATGTCTATTAATAATTTCATATCAAATCGCCGATTAATTTTTTCAAACAAGCTCATACCAAATTTTCATTGAATAACATGACATTTAAATTTATTTATTTGGTAAATTTGTACAAAAATTCCATCAGATTAAGCTTAAGAAAAGAAACTGAATCGCCTATTTACAAAACAAATAATATGGCAAAGAATGAAATGGTTATTTTGAAACTCTGTCCATTTCGTACAATAAAACCGGATATTTGTTATTAAAATCACCTAGAAATTTTTATCGCGATAAAAGTAAAGTAAATATGATACTGCAGTATAAACAAATTTTTTCTCAACTCTGCGATCTCGAAAAAGAATTGCAGCTTCCCATCGTCAAAATTAGTCTGTTTATTATCAGTGATAGCCTAAGAGACATATTAAATTGTCGAGTAAAAAATAATGAAGAAAGATTGATAGGTAAAGCACACATAATTTTTTCGCGGCGCGCATCATTGTATACTCAGGCGTGTGTGCACGCGGCCCGTTAATATTCCACCAGGCGGGCAAAGTGTAGCGCGATTGAAATGCGCGATAAAGTTACCGTGGCGTCAGTCAGCGGCTCGTTTAATGCAAGCGCAAGCTTTTTTGGACTACTGAACCGATTCTTGGGTGTAGGCAACGCGACTCGTTGGAAGCGATTTATGAAGACGTTGCGTGTTTTTTTTTGTACGCTTATCATGAGTGAAAGGCGTAAATACAGGGTTTTAAGAGAAGACTACTCTCTAAGAGTATAGCTTATTGAAATGTATATTTTTTTCATTCGTTAAAGAGAAATATATATTTTTTCAGTTATTACCGGGGCGGGGATCATTGAGTGAAACTAAATAAAAAAAGTCCGTGTACGGTATTTCAATGAATTCCTTATTTCGAAATTTCGGTCATTTCAAACTTTCTTTTCTTCCGGTAAAAATGTCAAGTTGAACGTAAGAGTGCAGTATACTTTGTATGATATTGCCACAGTACTCTGTTAAAAAGGTTGTGTAAAAACATCAGCAAATGTATATGAACTTGAGAAATGTAAAAGCTTACTGTAGAGGTAATGAACGTGCAAAAAACGTAGTTGAGTCGTAACGAAACCTTAGTATAATTTTTCAATGCTACTTATTACTTATTGGTATTTGAATTTCAAACAAATTTAACGTGCTTGAAATAAAGAAGTTATTGAACTATTGGACCTGCAAATAAACTAGCAGTAGTTAAATGGCAGGAAGTCGAATTGTTTTGGCACCGATTGTGCGGGATAAGCAATTTTCAAGAGTAATTACTCGCGTAAAAATTCCTGACTATTAATAAACAGCTACACGCTGTAATGATCGACTCTGAAAATTGAATCACTAAAACACCTGTCACAGGCTATTTTCATTTGACTGTTTCGCGGTAGCGCGTAAACATGTAATTTTGAAAAATAACGTAAGTTCGTTTGAAGGCTCAAAGCGGAAGAAAAAGAAACGATGCATTAAAGCGGTACACTCGCGAAAAGCGACACACGACGCCGACGTTAACTCGTGTGTGCTAGCGCAAAACTCTGGTGCTCGTTATAAGTATGAAACTCGAAGCAACAAAAAATAAATAAAATGCACGAGCGACACATCCGGTACGAATCATGCCAAAAACCGCATATTTTTTCTGACAAAACCGTGAGCGCAACTCTTCTTGCGCTTACAGTTAAAATGATTGCAAAGGCAGCACAAAAGATTTCATTTAAGAAGAAAACACCATTTAGAAAATATTCATTCATTCATCAGCGTACTCGGTCCGCTGCTGCGACTTCCTGCATATTACAGTAGACACTTTAAATGAACAAACACACGTACCCCGTCTTCAACTTGTGCTATCTCTGTAGATCATGCGTCCAAGTTATATGCGTATTGAATATTTATTTTTTTGTCTTCATTTCTTTCACCAGGGTCTGATCGGACAATTTTTCTTTTCCCTAATTCGGTTGTCTTTGTAGCATCTACGACGATATCTGTTTTTCTTTCGGTACGCGTGCTATTGATTATTATTAAGCGAGTTTTAAATTGAGGATACGTCGCTCTCTGGAGACGGTCAGTTTTTTTTCTGTCCGAGGCGCGCTGAAAAACCGATTTGCGCGATGCCGGTAATCGACTTTCTCTCGTGCTGCTCGTCGTCGCCTGCCCATGTCATCAGTTTTTTGGCGAGTTGCATCGACGGCGATGATTTGTGCGTGATTATTATAAACCGCTAGGGAGGGGGGGGGGGGCTACCACCAGAACGCTCACTGCACCTTTCATACGTGACTCGTTCACTATTTTTATTTTTTGACAACTTGGTGAAGCTTTTACTCGATTGGTCCGAATGAGGTTTAGCAGTGAGAATCAGTCGAGCGTCAAGGAACGAATGTTGGACGTCGAAAAACAATGCACGCTAAATTAGTCGGCAGCATGCACATATCTTACGCACCGTGACCGCGTTCAGCAGATCGGCATGCAACTCTCTGACTCGCTGCCAGGTTGTTGAGGCGCAACAACGTCTCAATCCGCATCGCAGATAGATATCCCCGCTAGATCGCGGCCATTGCTCTTCCCCACCGACAGTTAGCCCCTTTGAAAGCGCGCGCAGAAAAGAGGCTTGCCAGCGTGTTATTTCCCATTGGTTCCGCAAAACTAGGGCCGTCTAGGCATGCCGAGTGCGAACAGTTTGCAAGGCGCTGTCGAGTCGCCTCACGTCCATATCTCTCGACATTGATGTGTATGTTGCCGAACGAGTGCAATGGATTTTTGATGAGTTTGCGCGCAGGCAATCACGACGATTTGCTGGAAAGCCTTGCGCGAGCGATAATCTATTTAGCGAAGCTGTGCGTGCTATCAGCCGCGCGCGGCCCTCGGCTTATTTTCAATTGACACAGCGCGGCAGAGGCTGCTTCGATTGCTTCTGTAGAATCGACTGTATGCCGTTCGAAGACGAGCTGACGAGCAGTAGCAACGCAAGGTCACCGGCTCAAGAGGAATAAAGTGTCGTAGCAGACGGCACTGGTCAGCATCCTTATCGACACTTCTGCACTCGTACATTGTGACGCATAAAAGCATCAATGTGTACATTGGCACTAAGCGAGTTACTTACAAACTTATACACGACACTCTTCCTTAGTGCTTCTTATGATGTCTCTCGGTTGTCTGACGCTTTCGCGCGTACGAGGAGGGTCGCCTATAAAAGAAAAAAAAACAACGAGCTAAGCCTATATCTTTGGTTTCTCGCGAAAACTCGTAAATTGCGCTTTTTTACGAGGCTCCCGCTTGGCGAGCAGCATAAATCGCTTAAAATTATGCGAATTGGTTACTAGGTTGTCGCTGATATGCCCCGCAGATAAGGGCACAGATCAAACGAATACACTCAAGTACAATATATCCGAAGCGATCTTTGCGCGTCATGCGAGGGAATTGATGTCACCGCGTACGGCGAGTGTACATGAATGAGAAGAAAAGAGAATTCTTCCTTCTTTTTTTTATCTCGCATCTCCATAAACTGACGGCTAGCACTGCTGCACATGCGATCTGTAACGATTATTTGACACACTTTGACACCACCACCCGGCGCGCGAAAATCTCTTACGCAACACGAATGAGCTATAATTGCTTTTGACATAAGATACGACGCTGCTGCGTTCAAATCTTATGTCATCTTATGACACGTATGACCGAAATCGTGTTGCTCGCGAATCGCCTGACATTTCATTATATCTTAATTACTCGTTTAGAGCCTTTTCTAATCTAATGGATGTTTTATAGATGACACAAGACGCCATCGATTGTCGAATAAATCTTCCTTACGGTTTTCTGATTATCGCGATAAGCGTGACGATACAACCATATTGAATAGCAGCATTGTTCGGTTGATAAAGCAGCACGCGTTACGGCGAAAAATCGATTCGCCGAAGGGAGCCCGCCTCGTCTCAAAATAGTTCAACTACGCGCGAATATTGTGCAATAAACTTACTGTACGCCTCGCCACTTTCAAAATTTCAGCTCAAAGGGAATTTTCATTTTACGCCTCTCTCCAACTTTCAGTACTGCTTTCGACGAAGACTGATTTACGGCTCTCTTTGTCTATCGGTTAATAGCCCTTTTTTACAATCCGTGAACGCTTGCTATAACGTCTCGGCTAAACCTCAAAATATAATAAAAAGAAAGAGCGAGAAATATTTCTTTTACGCGTACACGCGTATATGTTTTTCTCATGCGACGACCCAGCATGCAAATCGTCGATCATAAAGAATATACCTCGGGCATCAACCGAACAATCTCCGCGTACACATACGTTTCATTGACTGCTTATTCATTCAGTGGATTCGCGCGCGAAAGAGAGCGACGATAAAATATCGTCGACCTTAGCATTTCAAATATAACCGTGTCA